ATTTTGTAAATCTTACGGTGAATTTTTTTTGCTTATTTTTGGCTTATTATAGATTCACAAATAGTTGTAAGAAACAATATAAGGAGAATTGATATGATACACCTTTTACTTAAAGTAGCATCTTGTATAACTGTAGTATAATATTACAACCATGAAATTGGGATTAATACAGTCTGCCAGACTTGTTCAGAGACCACCAATTTTACCTGCATGTACAAGTGTAGCATGCACTAATGTGTGTATTTAGTTCTGTACAGTTAAATCATATGTATAAATTTACCAGTGAGCCCTAATGCCATCATTTAAGTCCCCAGCCACCTTTCTCCCACCCCAGTTTTCTCCAGCCTCTGGCCACCCTTACTCTGTGTGCTCTCTCATTTATCATTTCAAGAATGCTATGGATGTGGAATTGGCTAGGATTATATATAAATAGCCATTGAGATAGAGTATTTTTTCCCGCTTCTTCCCCAAGCCCAGTTTTATTGCGATTTTCCTTGCTGATGATGACAAGGGACCATACACACTTGGGTGTGAGACCCACATAATTGGTTGTGGTACTTAGCAAGTGTCGCGTCACACATCTGGTTATGGTGCTCACACTTTCAGCTCACTCTGGATGAAGGAAGGGAGAAGTCTTGCTTCATTTACTAAACTCAGCACATGTGGATCATATGGCAGAAATACCAAGAATCAAGCAATTTATCCTTGCGTGTAAAGTAGGTGATTTTTGCCACTGAGTGGGTCAGCTTTGTGTTTTCATTTAGCATAGTTCCTTGTGATCTAACCCAGTTGTTGAATATATCATAATTTCTTTCTTTTGTTTTTGTATTTTGGGAACTATTCCTGTCTTTGCTCAGGGCTTATTTCTGGCTCTGTGCTCAGGGATCACTCCTGGCTCTGTGCTCAGATTATTCCTGGCAGTAATCTGGAGTCTATATGTGGTACTGGGTATAGAACCAGTCTGCTGTGTGTATGGCAAGAGCCTTAATCTTTGTATTTTCTCTCCAGTTCTGTCTTCTGTCATGGTCAATTTCTTAATATTGCAGAGCAGTACTTATAGTATAAAGATGCAACCTAAATTGTTTTTCAAATTTTATTACTTTATTTGACAGTTCCATTAGTTGAAGGATATTTGAGTTGTTTCTAGTATTTGACTATTATCAATAAAGATCTGTGAGCCACCCAAAAGGAGAGAGAGAACAAAAGGGAATGCCCTGCCACAGAGGCAGGTTGGGATGGGGAGGATGGGGGGTGGGAGGGATACTGGGATACTGGAGAATGGGCACTGGTGGAGGGATGGGTAATCGATCATTGTATAACTGAAACCAAAAATTTGTAAATCTACAACTGTGCCTCATGGTTTGTGTCATTTTATTCAAATTTTAGGCTACAGAAATGAGTATAAAAATGAGTATAAAAGTATATCAATTCCCTGTGAAATTTGAAATATAGGGCAAAAACAATTGTGTAGGACATTGAGTTTTTTCATGATGTCTAGATTACGTGGCATCAAATTATTACCTCCAGGAACAAGAAATGACTTCCCATCATTAACATGTGACTTGTAACCTCATTCCTCCAAAGGCAGCAGTATGATAGAGGGAATAAGTAAGGAGTTGTATAGATTTGTTTTCAAAGTCCTTGTCTAAATTGTTTGGATTATTACCTCTTATTAAACAGATGATGAAAAATCCTGTTCTTAAAAATGGCAACTTTAGGGGTTGGAGAGATAGCACAGCAGGTAGGGCGTTTGCCTTGCACGCAGCCGACCCAGGTTCGATTCCCATCATCCCATATGGTCCCCTGAGCACCGCCAGGAGTAACGCCTGAGTGCAGAGCCAGGTGTAACCCCTGTGCATCACCAGATGTAACCCAAAAAGCCAAAAAAATAAAAAAGGGCAACTTTATTAAAGTTGTATTACATATTTCATGAGGACCTTTTTGGAGTATGTAATCCATTAGATGAACTACCATTCATTCATTCATCCTGTTATTCGTCGATTGCCTCGAGCAGGCCCCAGTAACGTCTCTTTCATTCTAGCCCTGAGATTATATTCAAGGCTCTTTAGGAGAATGAGACCCATCAATGTTACTGGTATTTGGCATATTTGGTACGCCACGGGGAGTTTGCCAGACTCTGCCCTGTGGGCAGGCTACATTCGATAGCCTGCAAGTGTGTCCAAAGTAGGAATGAGATAATAATATGTCATAAAAAGATCTCCTGATAAGATGTCGCGCGGCTGCAAATGCAGCCGCGCAGTTCCGGAAGCTGGATTTTATAGTCTCTGAGTCTTGGCCGTTGATGGGATTACACGGCGCCAGGGGGCCAGGTGGTGGGTGTGACCCCCGCCTACTGGAATTTGGAGGATCTGGATGGAGGATGCTCGACTCCAATCCGAGTAGGCTTGGAGATCTCGGCCCCAGAACCCGCGTGGCTTTGTCCCTCTGCCAGTACCTTCATGTGTGCGGAGAGTGGTCTCAGCATGGTGGTGGCTGGTCCTGGAGGTCTTCGGCTGCCAGAGCCCTGGTCGGGGCGGGGAGGAAAGCTCAACCCGCTCCCCTCCAAGGGACCCCGGCGAGGAACAGCCAGGCGCAGGGGCAGGAGACTGCACTGGTCTCGTCCGGGAGCTGGATTTTATAGTCTCTGAGTCTTGGCCGTTGATGGGATTACACGGCGCCAGGGGGCCAAGTGGTGGGTGTGACCCCCGCCTACTGGAATTTGGAGGATCTGGGTGGAGGATGCTTGACTCCAATCTGAGTAGGCTTGGAGATCTTGGCCCCGGAACCCGCGTGCAGTCTCCTGCCCCTGCGCCTGGCTGTTCCTCGCCGGGGTCCCTTGGAGGGGAGCGGGTTGAGCTTTCCTCCCCGCCCCGACCAGGGCTCCGGCAGCCGAAGACCTCCAGGACCAGCCACCACCATGCTGAGACCACTCTCCGCACACATGAAGGCACTGGCAGAGGGACCAAGCCACGCGGGTTCCGGGGCCGAGATGAACTACCAAAGACAAATAATAAATCTTTAATATTTTTTCAAAAATCGGTCAACTAATAGCTGTTTTAGGGGGACAACTTTGCCCCCAAATAAATGACTGCATCATTCAACCCTCATATTGAACCACCAGCCCAGTTGGCTGAGAATGGCCAGCAGTGTCCAGGGGGGCTCCTGAGCATTGCTTAGGAGACCACTCCCTTTTGTTCCACAAAAAGTAAGTGAGGAGTAAAGCCAGGGGTGTAGTTAGGTGGTAGAGTATTTGCCTTGCAGGTATGAAACTCTGGGTTTAATACATAGTACCTAAAAAAAAAAATAATAATAATAAGTAAATATCCATACGTGGGATCGTTGTAAAATAATAACAAACTGATAATCACATTGCCAAAAATTGCATAGAGGAGTAGTAAACAAATTTGGTGTTCCTAAATAGCTTAATTTTTTAATATTTGATGATTTCAATAGCCATGCATCGATTGGTTACATCGTATTTTAGTTGAATTTTGCCCATTTTAAGCATTTTGCATATGCGTAAATCATTTACTATTCTCCACATGATTTTTTTTATTTTTTGGTTTTTGGGTCATAGTAGTACTAAAGGGCTTTACTCTTGGCTCTGTGCTCAGGAATCACTCCTGGCAGAGTTAGAGAGCACCAGTTGGGTGCTATAGATCAGAACAGAATCAGCTGCATGCAAGGCAAGTGCTTTACTAGCTGTACCATTTCCTCAACTCTTTTCACATGATTTTTTAAAAAATTACTTTGATTTTGGGATCATATTCAATATATCAGGACCTTCTCCTACTTCTGTGCTTGGGAGTCACTCCCACTGGTGCTCACGGGACCTCAGGACACCATGAGGTGACAGGGATGAAACCTGGGTCTTCACCACATAAACCCTGTACTCTTGGAGCAATCTTTTGTGTTGGGCCCCTATTGGCATGAATTTTTTTTTATAGCTCATTATTTTCTTAGGTTAGAATCTGACAAATGAGATATTAATGAAAAAGAATCTTATTACATATTAGGAAATTACTTTTCCAAGGAGTCGTACCAAATCAGTTTCTCCAGCAAAGTATGGGAACAGTTCTACCCTTATCACCATTCGACATTATAGTTTTGCTAACTAGGCTTCTTGTTCTTGTTGTTGTTGTTTATTAACCATAGCCAAAGATACTCCCTGCTTGGTGCTTGGGACTCACTCCTGGCAGGGCTTATAGAACCAGGCAGTGCTGGAGACCAAACCTGGGTCTCCTGAATACAAAGCATTTGCTCCAACCTGTTGAGCTTTCTTTTCTGCCTACCAATTAATTTTTTACTTAAATAGATATTTTGTTGCTAGTAATGTTGGATGTTTATTTAATAATTGTTTCCTTTTTTGTTAATTATTGTTTCTGAAAATTAGAACGTTAACTTTATTTTGTTCTTACCCTTTGCAGTTACAAAGCCCAGCAGCCCTCTTTGTTCATAGTAACTACCCTAACATAGATGGATACCTTTTCTTGTTTTGCATCAGACCAAATTAAAATTATATATAGCATATCATGGAATTAAAACACTGGTATCCTTTGTTAAATACTTTAATGTAAGCACTTTTGCTTCTAGTCCAGGACTTCCTGCCACAATCTATTTTAATCCCAGAAGACTTGAGCCTACTTAAGCATTATTGCTATTAGTAAATACATAGTCTATGTTAGAACATAGACCTTCATTTATAGTGAACTTTTAATTATATGCTTGCTTCTGCCATTAGAAAGGAAGTAACTCACTTTAGGTGGAGCAAATTTCATTCTTTTTGGCTGTCATGTAATAGACTAAAAGCAGTAATATTGCAGATAGACTTTCGTGACCTCAGGGTACAGGTAAGTAAATACACTGTCTTTAAACTAATGGGACCTGACTCATTTTTCAGAGGCCAGAATCAAGTAACTTAATAGTGCAGCATTTGACTTCTAAAGAAATTGAGATAAACTGCTTTAGAAATGGTGAAATGTCTTTTTTGTATTTTTCAGGTTTACAAGTAAAAGTATCCAAACTAAAAAAAGAACGAATTTTGTAAGTATCAGTAAATATCTGTGTGTCTTTATTTTAAAGTAATTGACATCTAACTTCTATTTGAACCTCGGCATCTTATTTATGAGTAAATATATTCTATGTCATGTGGACTTTGGATAAAAGAATAGCTTCGGTAGCAGTATTAAATATTTTCTGTTAATGTTTTTATTAAGACTGAAATCCATCTGTCAGCAATCTTTAAAACTATGATTAACCCCTGGATTTTAAGATACCACAAACCAGGCAGTGGAATAATTCTTGAATTTCTAAAGCTACAAGAAGAAATAAATTACATAGGTATTCAGAGATCCCTTTTCCTAATTTGAAATTGCTAGCAGTTTCCTCTGAATTGTTTTCATCATTAAACAAAGAATAAGATATGACTTGCTAAGTCTGTAGCAGACTTAGGATCCTAGGTATTTCATATCCAGAATCTAAAATTGACAGTGTTGTAAACTATTGTTACAAATAACAGAAATTAATGCTATTGTGACTAATAATGTATTGCTTCATGGTTTTGGCATGTACTCTTAGTTTCTAATATAAATAGAGGCACTAGTATCCGTGTGCTTTGGAGTACACATATATTTCCTAAGCTTAGTCCATTAAGAGAGCCTGAAAGTAATGGCTTCCAATATTAATAAACCTTAACCCAGATCTTAAAATATCTAAAGAATCTAAAGATTCTTTGTAGAACTGACTGATGCCATGGTTTGGGCATGGAGAAAGGGCATACAAATTATAAAATGAGCTAAAAAATCTTGTAGTATTGGAATATTAATAGGTTCAGTTATTTCTGGGAACACTTGGAGTTCTTCAAGAAGCTGAAAATAGAGCTACTGTATGATCCAATGGCTAATCATACAGTAGCTTTGTACAGTGTTGAAATATAAATAGGTTTAACTATTTTGGGAAATTTTTAGAGGTCTTCAAGAAACTGAAAGTAGAGCTACTTTCTTGGAAGGTATCTGATTATGAAAATAGTAAAACAAATTATAGCCACCCCAGTTTTGCTGCAGCATTATTTGCAATAGTTAAAATTATACAACAACTGAAACTCATTAGCTGAGGATGTGGTATATTTATAAACTGAAGTACTATTCCACTGCAGAAAGATAAAAATTTTCCATTTGCAGCAAAATAAAAGGAACTCCAGGAGACTGCAGGTGAAATTAATCAGATATTGGATGATTTCACCCAAGTATGCATTACAAAAATATAAAATTAATGAGCAGATAAAAACAAAAAAAACTAGAGTGGCTGGAAAATATTACAGGGGTTAAGGCACTTGCTTTGCACACAGTTGATTCCACTTTGATCTTTGGTACCACATATTGTGCCCTGAACACTACCAGGTATGATCCCTAAGACCACAGGATGTGGCCTAAAAGCAAAAAGACAAACAGAAAACTCTTTTTCTAAACCGAACAAGAAACCTGAACATTGATAACAGAACTAAGGACATCTGAGAGGAAGAATGTGGGTAGAGAAGGAAGAAATGATGAATTCAGTGTAAACACTGGTGGTGGGTTTTATTTGTAAACAAACAAAAAAAATGAATGGGGCCTTTGAGACAGTTTAGTGGGCTGGAGCTGGTGATTCGTTTTCTGCACATGGTCCTTTGAGCACTGAGTTGAGAGTAGTCCCAGAACACTGCCAGGTGTGACCCAAATCAAAATAAGACAAAAGGCTGGAGAAAATAAGATGTGACGTTGGGTAGGCATCAACACTGTCACTCTATTTAGTGACAGTGCATCTGCAGCTTGTAGGCATGATTTCTTTTTATGACATGGCTTTCCTATTTCTGTTCCCCACTCCCTCCCTGATAGACTCTAAAGATTTTGTAAAAACTAGGCTTTCAATGTATTCCTTATTGGACTACAAAGTCTGAATAGGACTTGAGAGTTGTACCTGGGTTAAGGTGCCTTTATTTTACATGCTCCTGAGTCCAGTTGGACCAGGCATCTCATTGTCCTCCAAGCACAGAACCAGGAGTGCCCTGAGCATTACCAGGTTTGATCTCTTGAGTACCACTGGTTGTGTTCAAATTCTTCCACATCCCCCAAAAGAATGATCTGGATAGTTACAAAAGAAAGCTCTTTATACATTATTCTTATAATAAAAGTCATTCCATATGCTTGCTTCAGCAACACACATTGAAAAAAAATTATTTCCAAAATAAATACAATTAAGTTGGTTAAATTAAGAAAATAGCATTTTTTTCTTAATTAAACTGTCTCTTTTTATATCCACCTGAAATCAACATAGGGAATAGCCATGTTTTAGGAATGAATACGCTTTTCTTCAGTGGTAGAAATCTTTTTGAATGGTTTGAATTTTCAAATTGCATGGGGCCAGAGAGATAGTACAGGGATTAAGGTACTTGCCTTGTAATGCTGCTGACCATTGTTCAGTTACTGGTACCAAACATACCACGTACAGACCCAATAGCCCACCTACAAAATGATATGAAATACATTTTATTTGTTGGGTTTTTATGTGTTTTTATTTGTGACCATTCCTTGCAATGCTTAGAGACTGTTCTATTCTCTGTGCTAAATCTGAAATGTGGTACACACACACACACACACACACACACACACACACACACACATACACACACTCACTCACTCACATATATTTTGGATTAAATACCTAATTTAAATATGTGTTGGTAGCAAAAATGTTTTGATTTAGAAACGCCTATAAATGCTCGTTCAAACTTTGACAGGTTGTTAATCATGCCTGTAAATTTCTAATACAGAGTCAGAAAAAATATATGTGATGCTGCTTCCAAATTAAAGTTTTTCTAAAAGTATTGGGCGTTTTTTATTTGTTTTATTTTTTTAGTGCTGGGGATCAAACCCAGAAACTGGCATGTGGCCTAATAACCTACTACTACTTACAAACTTAGAAAAACCTTTTCTAGAAGTTAAATGAGAAATAGCGAAATAAATTTCTATTCTTACTGTTATTTTCAAATTTTCAGATACCTGTATCTGTCACCAGAACTGCATTTTTAATACAACAGGGAGCTATTTCTCTTACTTTTCATTTTTTAAGTAGTATTCCACTGCTATTTAAGAGGTGCCTTCCCTTTCCCTTTGTACTTTTTACTTGTATTCATCTATTATGCTTCTTTTTTGATAGTTCATTTTACATAGTAACTATTTTGAAAACCATTTGCCTTTTGTGGCAGACTGGTTTGTCACCCTTACTTGATTTTAATATGGCTAGACTATGGAAGCTGGAATTTTGAACCATGATATTCTCTCATATTTTCAATTTTAAGATCACACAGAAATCTCAGGTTTCTTACGCATTTAATAGAAATATGTATAAAGGTAAAGGCCCTCCAGTTGATCGTCGATTTGCTCGAGCGGGCCCAGTAACGTCTCCATTGGAGACTTTGTTGTTACTGTGTTTGGCATATCAAATACTCTCGGTAGCTTGCCGGGCTCTCAGAGAGGGGCGAGGAATCGAACTCGGGTCGGCCATGTTGGCCGCTTGTAAGGCGAATGCCCTACCGCTGTGCTATCGCTCCAGCCCAGAAATATGTGTATATCATATAATATGATCTTTTAAAAATATAACGGGCTGTAGCAATAGCACAGTGGGTAGGGCATTTGCCTTGCATGCGGCCTACCCAGGTTCGATTCCCAGCATCCCATATGGTCCCCTGAGCACCGCCAGGGGTAATTCCTGAGCGCAGAGCCAGGAGTAATCCCTGTGCATCGCCGGGTGTGTCCCAAAAAAGCAAAATAAATAAATAAAATAAAAAAATATAGCAGAGAGGTAAAATATAACAGTGTCTTGGGAAGTAGTCAAGGAATAAATGTTTCAATGTTTTTTCCCTCATTATAAAATCATAATAACAAACACTTAAGTGTAATACATGTTGGCACTTTTCTGAGTGCTCTATAATATAGTAAGTGCTATTGGTACTTGCAGCTAATACCTTATGAATTGATATTCCCATTTTTTTTGAAGGAGAAAGTCCAGATAACTTGTCCATGGTCATGGAGGTGGCAGAGAAAAGATTCAAATGAAAACATCAGGATCATATGTATTTTCACTGCACTGTACACTCCTTACCTTGCAAGAAAAAGTTCAAAAAGTGAAGTTAATAAAATAAAAAGCATAACCTTCCTGTTCTTGGAGTAGAAATTATATAAGAATAAAGATGGCTATTATTAACATTATAAATGTGTGCAAAATCGTAAAAACAGTAAGTGTACTTTTAGAGTTCAATCAGTGGAATCCACAGAATACACTCATTCATCTCTATTCCAACATTGTATAAAGAATGTCTGGTACTGAGGATAAAAAAAAAGGTAAAGGCCCTCCCGTTGATCCTTGATTTGCTCGAGCGGGCCCAGTAACGTCTCCATTGGAGACTTTGTTGTTACTGTGTTTGGCATATCGAATACATCACGGGGAGCTTGCCAGGCTCTGCCGTGCGGGCGAGGTACTCCCAGTAGCTTGCCGGGCTCTCCAAGAGGGACGGAGAATCGAACTTGGGTCGGCCATGTTGGCCGCTTGTAAGGCGAACGCCTTACCGCTGTGCTATCGCTACTGAGGATATTGCTTCTATTATGTATTTTTAAATATTGTAGAGCAAGTTCTAGTATACTTTTTGAATTATGTTGTTTAGTAAAATACTTTACCTTCTAAGTTGTTTACATGAATATAAGAAATGCAAGTTATATAAATGGTAAAAATGTACTTTCAAGTTGTTACAGAAAAATTATCTTGTTAGAGAATTTTCCCTGAATAAAACTTATTTCTTGACTTTTAGAGATGCACAGAGACTAGAAGAATTCTTCACCAAAAATCAACAGCTCAGAGAGCAGCAAAAATTCCTTCATGAAACCATTAAAGTTTTAGAGGATCGGTGAGTATGGTTCCTCGATGTCCTTAAGAGGTCATTTTCCCCCTTACTAGAGAAGCATATGGATTTTATTTAATTTTAAGGGTTTTTTTTTTGGGGGGGAGGGGGGTCATATTTACAGTGCCCTGGAGCTACTCCTGTCTCTGTGCTCCAGAGTTGGACACCATGTGGTGCTGATATCACCTTTAGGCCTCCTGCATGCAAAGCATATGCTCCAGATGTTGAGCTATCTCTTGCCCAATAATACATGAATTTTAATTTGTATCACTTCTGAGATTGAAAGTTTTTTCACTCCAGTCTGTCCGTTTTAAATAGATGCTTTCTGAATCTAAGGATATAGTCTTAAAGGTTTGTCTTTTCATTAGTTGCATCAATTTACTTTTTTTGTAGAGGGGATGGGAAATACTTCGCAAGTGATTTGGTACTCAGGAGGCCTGAGGGCCAGTCTGGTGATTCTAGGCCAACCATGCAGGCAGTTCAATGCAGGGACCCAAGAATGAGGTGCTGCTTACACCCTAGAGTGCAAGGTATTACCTGGGCCGACCTCCAGGGTCACACCCAATAGTGCTTTGGTGCCTCCAGGGCTTTACCTGATGATGCTTGGGGCCAAGGATTGCCACATGCAAGACATGTACTTTAATCCACACACTATCCATCCAGCCCCCATTTTACCCTTTACATGTAGCACCATAGCACCCTCCTCCCATTGTTCATCAATTTGCTGGAGCTGGCACCAGTAACGTCTCCATTGTGAGATTTGTTACTGTTTTTGGTATATCGAATATGCCACGGGGAGCTTGCCAGGCTCTGCTGTGTGGGCGGGATACTCTCGGTAGCTTGCCGGGCTCTCCTAGAGGGACAGAAGAATTGAACCCTTGTTGGCCGCGTGCAAGGCAAACTCCCTACCCGCTGTTCTATTGCTCCAGCCCACCCTTTACATGATGTTTCTTTATTTGGTATTTAATGTAGGACAAACTTAGATAGCAAATGTTTCATTTGAGTATTAAAGTCTTTTTTTTTTTTTTCAGTGTAAATAGAAACTCCTTCGTGGGGACTGGAGTAATAATACAGCGGGTAGGGCATTTGCCTTGCCAACCCAGGTTCGATTCCCAGCATCCCATATGGTCTCCCGAGCACTGTCAGGAGTAATTCCTGAGTGCAGAGCCAGGAATTACTGGAACCCCTGAGCATCACTGGGTGTGACCCCCCCCAAAAAAAGAGAAACTGCTTCATGACTATTCCTGCTATTATTCTAGATGTTCTTTTTTCTTTTCTATTTTTTCTGTATCTAGCTTATCTTTTATTCTTTCTGAACAGATATGGCTGTTACAATTTTAATCTCCAGATAGAGATTCCTTTCTTCCATCATCTATGAGATTATCACACTAAGTCAGAAAACACTTTCAGATTTTTGCTATTCCTTTATCTTAATTCCAAATATTATTTAGTAATTTTAATTGCAAAATGAAAGGGGTTTTTTTTTTTTTGGGGGGGGGGAGCTTCAGGAGTTGTGGGAAAAGTGATTTGAGCCATACCTGGCAGTGTTCATTCAGAGCTTTCTCTTGCCTCCTTGCTCAGAGATCACTTCCACTGGTGTGCAGGGGGATATATGTGGTGCTGAGGATGAAACCAGGCCCATATGTGGTGCTGGGGATTGAACCAGTGTCAACCGCATACAAGGAAAGGGCCTTAACCCTACACTGTCTCTCCAATCCATAATGAAAGTTTTATTTCTTCATCTCTGTGAACAAATTGGATAAAACCCAAATTGTATCTTACTGATAGTTTTTTGTTTTCATGGAATAATTATTCTTTCTCTTTGCCTGCTGGGCTGGAGCGATAGCACAGCGGTAGGGCGTTTGCCTTGCGCACAGCCAACATGGCCGACCTGAGTTCGATTTCTCCACCCCCCTCGGAGAGCCCAGCGAGCTACCGAGAGTATCTTGCCCCCATGGCAAAGCCTTGCAAACTACCCATGACGTATTTGATATGCCAAAAACAGTAACAAGTCTCACAATTTGTTGTGAGACGTTACTGGTGCCCACTCGAGCAAATCCATGAACAATGGGAGAACAGTGCTACAGTACTCTTTGCCTGCTGATAACTACTAAAATTGTATTTTCCTATGAATCTGAAGTGGGTTTTTCTTTCTCTGAAAAATGGGGTGAAAGACAGCTAAGAGAAAAGCAGTAGAGCTCCTTGATAGAGAAAAGAGGCAGCAGATTTTCTCATACCCATTTAAATTTAAAATAGGATCACTAAGAAATTAAGAGGAGAGTCTTGGATCATTATTATGAAAAGTAGTAATTGATAGGAGTAACTGTTAGTAATAAAGTGAGGGAAAGCTTTATTTTATATTTGCCTCTCATTGATGTTTTTCTTTTCAAAAATTTTGTTTTGGGAATTTGGGTGCAATGGTTAATATTTGCTTCTGACTCTGCTCAGAGATTACCTCTGGAAGTGCTTAGCAGTTATTATGTGGTGCTCAGGATCAAACCAGGGTTGGCCATATTCAAGGCAAGTACTTTAACCCCTGTACTATCTCTCCAGCCCCCCAGTTATGCTTTTCAAACCATAAACTATGGATTCCAAAGAATGTTTTCTGTAATGCCTTACTGGACAGTTTGTGTCAGATTTTATTTCTTAAAAATTTTGTTTGATTTTTATAGACAGAACTGGTAATGAAATGTGATTTAAAAATTCTTTAGATTGTTTAATACCATTTAATCTTACAATGTTTTTAGTAAACTTCAATGTCAAGTGCTCTTTGACCTTGATCACCCAATCTGTGATTTTTCACAATTAGGATTGACAATTAGAATATTGAACTTCGTTGATGCATCCTGAGCTATTTAAGCAAATCCTGAAAAAGAAGAATCATTATGAAATATCAAGGATTTTAAGCAGAGTTACATTGATTTTTCTTAGAACAGTTTAACAGTATCTTAGTTTAGGTATAAGTCAGACTTTATCATTTTATTCCTTTGAAATTTTATTTTATTTTTTTGCTTTTTGGGTCACACCTGGCGGTGCACAGGGGTTACTCCTGGCTCTGCACTCAGGAATTACCTCTGGCAGTGCTCAGGGGACCATATGGGATGGTGGGAATCGAACCCGGGTCAGCCGTGTGCAAGGCAAACGCCCTACCCAATCTGCTATCACTCCAGCCCCACCTTCGGAATTTTAAAGGCATAAGGAGACCTTACTGTTAACTTTATAAATGCTGGAAAGTCTGCACTGCTACTGGTGGTTGCACACTTTAGTTTTGCTTACATATTCCTGTCTGCGAGCCCCAGATTGTGCCCTCTGTGCCAGTGGGAAAGACGGTCCCAACCAGGAGACTTTATGTATCAGTCAGTGAGTGTGAATGGACCAGGCGTGTCACTCAGCCTTGTGTTTGCAAGTGAAGCACTTTTGCCATTGAGCATCCTCAGGCCCTGATATCAATACTTTTTAATAAAGGTTTTACTTTCAGGACTGGAGAGATAGTAGAGTGGGTAGGATGCCTGTCTTGCCTGTGGCCAATTCGGGTTTGAGCCCCAGCATCCCACATAATTGCCCCAAGTATTGCCAAGAGTATCCTGATTGCAGAGGAAGGAGTAACCCCTGAGCATCACCAGGTGTAACCCCAGAACCAAAAAATATGTATTTTACTTTCATAGAAAAAAGTTCTCTGGACTTTTCCCCTCATTTTATTTAAGTTGTACCATTTTCATGTAGTTTTTTTGTTTGTTTTTGATTGTTCTGTTTTTGTTTCATCACCATACCCAGCAGTGATATTCCTGGCTCTGCTCAGGGATCACTCCTAACTGTGCTTAGAGGATCACGTGTGGGGCAGAGATCAAATCAGAACTAGCCTCTTGCAAGTCCTTAACCTCTGTAATCTATCTCTGGCCCCCTTTTCATGTTTTATATTCTGAAATTAGTTTAAAATTAATGGCATATACCGCCCTGCTATGATGCCCATAGACACTTTTTAGTATTTATTTAGGTATTAAGTTTCAATTATTTGAATATTGTTTCTAATTTCCTTCTCTGGGATATGTGTTCTTTTTCAACAAGACTTTTTCGTGGTTAAATGAAATAAGAAATTTTGTGCATTTTATTTTGTTTGGTTTGATTTTTGGTTTTGTCGCCACACCCGTTGTGCTCAGGTTTTACTCCTGGCTCTGTACTCAGGGATCACTTTTGGCAGGTTCTTGAAACTATGCGTGGATTGGATCCAAGTGAGCCATGTATAAGTCAAATGTCTTACCCACTGTACTCTAGCCTAAAATGGGAAATTTTGAACAATACAGAAAAAAAATTTCCTATAACACTTACCTCATAGTAGCAACAAGATAATTATTACTCTACTTTGAAGTATATCTTCCTTCCTTTTCTCTAACACCTTCACTTCACCTTACCCCTATCTGCAATATGGGTATTTCCCTCTAGCAATTTCAGCTCTAGCAAGTAATTAACAAAAACTGTTTTGTAATTTTTCTTTTAGTTAATAATGGATTATGAAGTTTTATTAGCATTGGTGGTTTTAATGTTTAAAAAGAGTGGTAAAATAGAGTACTTTTTTTTAGCGGTAGGGCATTTGCCTTGCACGCAGCCAGCCCGGCCGAGCCGGGTTCAATTCTTCCGCCCCTCTCAAAGCCCGGCAAGCTACCGAGACTATCTTGCCTGCACAGAAAAGCCTGGCAAGCTCCCCGTGATGTATTCAATATGCCAAACACAGTAACAACAAAATCTCAAAAATGGAGACGTTACTGGGCCCGCTTGAGCAAATCGATGAACAATGGGAAGACTGTCACTGTGTTCTTTGACTTCTAACCTTTACTCAGCTTAAAAAAAATTGTTGGATATTCATTCTTTACATAATGTGCTCTGTCAAAGCAGATGTAAGTTTAATATATGATTCTGGACTAAAGTCATATTTTGACTATAATGAATTAAACCATGGTCAGTTTCTTCAGTAAATAAGTTTTCTTGGATAGAATTTTAAATGCAGATTTTATTTTTTAATCCCTGGCATCCCATATATAGTCCCCTGAGTACTTCCAGTAGTGATTACTGAGTGTAGAGCCGGGAGTTACCCCTGAGCACCACTGGGTGTGACCCAACCCCAATCCCCCCATAAGAAGACTTTATTGCATGATTTCAGCCTTTATGAGACTGTGTTAAAGGCATAATTCATCATTAAGCTAGTTGATTCTCTGTGTATTTTCCAAATCAGTTCTTATGTCTTTATATTGGAGTTCAAATATAAGGAACTATCTTTACAGTTTTTATTTTTATATTTCAGCTTTATTGAGTATAAGTGACAGAATTGTAAGATAATCTAAGTGTACGTAGTGATAATTTTATAGATACATCATGAATTCCCCATATTTAGCTAATACAGTCATCATCTCACATATTGCATATTTTCTGATTAGAACATTCAAGTTGTACTCTTAAATATTTATTGTTTTAATTTAACAGATTAAGAGCAGGCTTATGTGATCGCTGTGCAGTAACTGAAGAACATATGCGGAAAAAACAGCAGGAGTTTGAGAATATCCGGCAACAGAATCTTAAACTAATTACAGAACTTAGTAAGTTTCCCTTTTTTTATTTTAATATTTAAAGTATAATATATGAAAACCTGTTATAATCAAATGTATTGTTTTTTTGTGTATTTTTTCTTAGGCAAAGATCAAATGTATTTTTTTCCCCATTTTTTATTTTGACTTCTGTGCTTATTTCAGTGTGCAATAGGTTACAAAAAGGTGTAGAGCCAAAGAGATAGTACAGGGTTAAAGGTGCTGCATTGCACATGGTTCAGGCAAAGTTACCAATAACGGACATTAAAATTATTAAAGATTGAGGGAGAATTTTATTTTTTATTATTTTATTGTAACATGCATCTACCCCCATATCCTCACACTTCTTAGTGATATGAAGGGGAAATATAACTATAATGGAGAAATATATGCATCCATCGTGCAGAGCCTAGTGATTAGATTCCTTAACCTGATGATATCTGTCTTCTCATGTGATGCAATATGAAGTAGATACTTTTATCTCTTTTATCTATGAAGCAATACTGCAAATAAGCTGGGGGGGTGCTCATGAGTGCCTAGCAGGGACAGATTTGATCCCCACAAAGCCCCAAATTTGAAGTGAGATCCTAGAGACCTTCCTTGAGAATACCAGAGTCACAATCATAATTTGTGATCTTGGGCACACTACAACCTAGTGTGTGTGAGAATTACAGCAAAGTGTGCAACCCCTGGAACAACATAAAATAATAAGAATGGCCAGATAGAAATAACCAGAAAGCGATATCATTCTAGGAAAGTTATTGAACAAATAATTATTGTCTACTTTTTGAATAAATCAATATCATTTAAAACAAAAGGAAGTAAACTAGATTAAGACAACTCAACACAGTATTATGTAGTAATGGCAGGTGTGAACAAAATAAGAAAACTAGCAATGGGTATTTTTATAGAAATGATAAAAATGTTTAGGGGAGAAATTCTTAATATATCTAATTTATATTAAAATATTAGTTTAAGATATTTTCAAGGCTAAAAGCTAGCAAAATATAACCAGCTACCAAAATCTAATGATGTGTGAGATTCTTCAGTAGTCTTCCTACCCGTATGTATGTTTTAAGAAATTTGTTGAAGGGCCAGAGTGATAGTACAGCGGGTAGGGCACGTGCCTTCATGTGGCTTCTATACCCAGCACCCCATATAGTTCCCAAAGCCTGCCAGGAGTGATCCATAAGCCCAGATCCCAGGAATAAGCTCTGAGCACTGCCAGTTGTGATCCAGAACCAAAAAGAGGAAAAATCATTAAGAACTAGGGGCCCGGGTGTGTTGGAACAATAGTGCAGTGAGTAGAGTGCTTACCTGCATGAGGCCAGCCCGGGGTTGATCTCCAGTATCTCATATGGTACTTCAAGCCTGCCACGAGTTGCCCCTGAGCACAGAACCAGGAGTAAATCCTTACACCACTAAGTGTGACTCCAAAACAAAAAAAGAACAAGAGTCCATAGAGATAGCATTCAGCAGTACTCAGGACTTAGGTCCCCGGTGTTGCATATGGTCCCCTGAAAAACTACCAGAAGTGATTTCTAAGCTTAAAGCCAGGAGAAAGCACCACCAGATGTGGCCTAAAAGCAACAATAAAAAATAAAAAACTAGGGGGCTAGAGCAATAGTACAATACCAAGAGTGATCTCTGAATCCAGAGCCAGTAGTAAGCCTGAGGACTGCCAAACACCAAAAAAAGAAAAAAATCAAACCAATAAGGCCAGTTTGAAAAAAAAAATAGTAGTTTTAGAAATTTAAAAAAAAAAAAACTTAGTTACTACAGTTATGCAATGAAAATTGACTCCTCATTCATTGTTGGTGGTACTGTTGTCTGGTTTAGCCTCTATATAAACCAGTATGGAGTTTTCTAAAAATATTAAAAACAGAACTCCCATGTGACCCAGTAATTTCACTCCTTGACATTTTTCCCAATAACACGAAAACATTAACTTGAAAGAATACATGCTCATCTATTTTCATTCTCTTCATCTATAACACACACAAACACACACACACACGCACGCACGCACATGTGCGCACACGCACTATTCAGCTATAAGAAAAAAATTTCTCCTTTTGCTATATCTTGGATGGAACTAGGAGTGTCATACTAAGCAAAAGAAGTCAGAGAGAGGACTGATGAGTACAGAAATTTTGCTTAGTCCATTGAACTGTCTCTCCTGCTCACATGTATGTGTGTATTAATTTTAACTTTTAAATGTCTGTCTTGATGGTTTTCTTAATCACATTTTTATTTCCTTAGCCCAAGGGGGAAAAAAATCCTACTTTGCTTATAGTTGATGTAGGTCCTATTGACATCCCTTTTTCAGAGCTGAAACTGGTAGAGAGTTTTTGAGTATATGGATAATTTGTCTTGGGTGCCTTCTTCAGTGGTTACTATTAATTACTTGTGGGCACTGCCATGATCTTCTTGTCTCAGTATTTATTAATGAACTCCCTCTATTTCAAAACTTGTAGAGATACAGTCTCATAACTTTAGCTAGGTATAGTTAGCAATTAGCCACCCATTACTAATTTATTTCCTGAGCATTCCTACCTCTGGTATAAAATGATGAAATTAATGAGTTTCTATTGAGAAAACTCACATTTCCGGGGATTTTTGTTTGTTTTTAAGTATTTTTGGTTTACAATACTGTAAATGTTTGTGTTTTAGGTTACTTGCCACGAATGTGCTATTATCCTTCCACCATAATCTATTGTATCCTTTCAGCCCACTCATCCCACCTTTGGTAACCTCAGTTTTATGGTCAGGGTTTTAGGATTTGTTTCCATTGGATATTGGGAAAACTGGCTTTTTTTTTTTAAAGCCCTTTATTGGATTTCACCATCAGTCTTAAGTCTATTTATTTTTACATCATTGAGGAATTTTTCATACCTCAGATCCTCTAATGGTATTCCTGACTTTTCGGTATTTTTATTGACTTATTTTTAGTGTTATTTTGTCATTTAATTGGGATTTGAATATCATCTTAATCATTTTTTTTTTTTTTGCTTTTTGGGTCACACCTGGCTATGCACAGGGGTTACTCCTGGCTCTGCACTCAGGAATCACCCCTGGCGGTGCTCAGGGGACCATATGGGAGGCTGGGAATCAAACCCAGGTCGGCAGTTTGCCGTTTGCAAGGCAAATGCCCTACCTGCTGTGCTATTGTTCCAGCCCCTTAATCAAAATTTTAAGACCATCTTTGGTTTCTCTAACCCCTCCAAAAGATGTAAGTTACCAGTTAACTATTGGTTCTGCCTCTGTAACAACTTTTTTCTATTTCTGCCCCTTCTGCTTTAGTTTGGGTATTCATTTCTTTTAATGATCACCTGACTTGTTAATGCTTTCTTCTCACTTTGGCTTATGGTTATAGGTACTAACAAACCAAACTTCTCATCATTCATGTGTCATCAAAATAATACGTATTAATCTTTTAAAGTACAGTTCAGATTTCTTAGCCTGGTTTTGAAGGCTTCCTATCATTTTTTATACCAATTTCTTTCTGTCATTAATTCTGTGCAGAAGATTAATGATACCTATTCAATAGTTACCTTCCCTTTAATAAACATCTTTCCTTGATCTTCCCAAGAGCTATACTTTTCTCCTTAGATTTTCTTTTTTTTGTACTTTATATGTACCACTCTGGTGTTCTTCTCACTTTCAGTAGTATGAACTATATTGATGTAGTATCTTAGCTTTTTATTATACTATCCTTTCCTTTAAGTCAATACCCATATCTTAAGTAATCCTCCACTAGAGGAAATTTAACCTCACATATTATGTGTAATCCCAAAAATTTCATATACTCAATATAAGAAAAAATGTTTAGTTTTTTTAACTACTAAATTATTAACAAGTTTAAACTATTATTAACTTTCTTTGGTAGAAAGTTATTGTATTTTCTTGATCTCTTAGATGTACTTCTAATAAAGCACGTGCTTAAACAGTGACATCATATTAACTGAAAGGATTATTTTATGTTGGTCACAATGGAAATTAGAGCCCAAAATTGAGTTTATATTTTACAAATTAAGATTAGATAGAAAGTTTTAGTCTAGTTAGAGTCAAATGATCTTGCAATCAGTATATTTAAGTTACTGATACCATAAATTATTCACAAAGTAGGATTTGACTAAGGAAGCGGTTTTTGACTTACGTATACTTAAATTATAAAAAATGATGTGGATATTTATTTTATTACTTTTATGGCCAGGTTTGTTTCCAGATAAATGATTTTAACTATAATGGTATTTTAAATTATCAGGACTAAGAACCAGATGAATGTGCTCTTTCTCTCAGAATGAATAATTAGATTATATTCCCTAGTACATTAGGAACTTTTTTTTTTGCCTATAAATCTTACATAAAATTATTCATTAACCAGTTAATGGAACTGGCATTATATGAGATGTATTAATCACTAGCAACAAATTAGTTTTGGATGGTAACATTGTGACTAATATTATACTTTTTAATTAGGAATCTTAATTTCTTCATACTTGTTAAAATTATTTTGAAAGCCTAATATTCATGTTAAATAATATTTCTTCTTTTTTTATATTATTTTAAGTGAATGAAAAGAATACTCTCCAGGAAGAAAATAAAAAGCTTTCTGAACAACTACAGCAGAAAATTGAGTAAGTGTTTGTCCTAAATTATAGCAGAAAATTTACTATTTCCCCCTAACTTTTCTTTCTTCTTTAACTCAGCCATACAAACTGTAGAGATATATTAAGAACTGTAGATGTCATTTCTAAAAGTTAAAAACTATTGGGGTCCAAGTTGTAAAAAAAAAAAAAGAGTATAAAGGTTAAGGCACTTAATTTTTTTACGTGACCTACTCTGGTTCAATACCCAGCACTGCATAGGGTCCTTTGAGCACCACCAGGAGTGACCCCTAAATATAGAGTCAGAAGTCCTTCTCTAGGCACCACCAGGGGTAGCCTCAAACCTTATTAGAATGTAGTAATAAAATTACTAGGTGTTCTGCAATAAAAGTATAAAGAAAATTCTGATATTTTTTGATAGTGTATAGAGTATGAACAACTCCATTGTGGATGTTAACTACCAATTATCTTATGTTTTGATTTTTATAGTAATTTTATAAATAGTATGTAAATTATTTATAATGATGAAATTATAATAATTTATAAATAAAGTACTTATGATTCAAATAAATATTTGTGTTTTGTTACCTTTAGAAGCTTCTTAAAAATTGAAAAAGTATTCAGTACATACTTATATACTTTTCAGACTGGAAAACTTTTTGTCTTCTCTGTTGCTTTCTTTTCTCTCCCCCATTTTACTTAAATAATAAAAGTAACTGTTATTTTACCAATTAATCTTCCTCACGTTTTATGTTTATTTTTTTTAGTTCTCACTATTTTTCAAGTTAGGTTTATTATCTCTACTTTATGAATGAGAAAACCAAATTTCAACATGCCATGTCTTACAGCTAGTTGGCTGTCACTCAGATTCTTGTCTTCTGACTTTAATTCCTGTGTTGTTTCTTTTATGCAATAGTATCTCAAATAAAGAATCTCTTTGAGTCTGAGGAGATAGTACAGGAGGTAAGGCACTGCCATACATGGATCACTGGTCATGACCCTAGATTGAATTACTGTCACCAGATGTGATCCCCTAAGCATAGAGCCAGGAATAGCCCAAGTACTCCAGGTGTATCCCCAGCTTTCTCCCCAAAATCTTTTTATCTGGGTATGATCTAACTTGTGCAGAATAGAGATTTGGTCAGATTTTATTCCTCAATTATATAAAGCTTATGTAGTGTTCTTTTAAGAGTGAGGATTTAGGAGTCATGATTTTTTATAGGGTTTGTAAAGGTTCTGTTGCATTTGAGTAAACATCTATAATACCTTTAAGACACATTGTGCAAAAGTAACAGTATTTTAGCTTAGAGTAGTTATTAAGCATAAACACATTCTCAAAAGAATTACCAGGTAGCCTTATCAGTGTATTTTAAGGTAGTTGATGCCTGAATGTTTATATTCTTCCTGTGTGATTACTTCACTATTCGAAGTCAAAGGAATTATGAGGGGAAGTAAAATGACTATCTTTACTTTCAATGCATGTGTGCTGGCAACAAATCATAGAGAAAAATATATAAATATATGTCTCTCAGAGAACCCGGCAAGCTACTGAGAGTATCCCACCTGCACGGGCAGAGCCTGGTAAGCTCTGTGTGGCATATTCCATATGCCAAATACAGTAACGACAACAGGTCTCATTTCCCTGACCCTGAAAGAGCCTCCAATCATTGGGGAAAGATGAGTAAGAAGAGGCTGCTAAAAATTTCAGGGCTGGGAGAAATAGAGATTACTGACGCCTGCTCGAGTAATTCGATGATCAATGGGATGACAGTGATACAGTGATCCTTTATTGTACAAGAAATCTGATTTCTTGGGGCCCAAACATCACGAAATGCATACAGTGTACCTGGGTACGATCCCTGGTATGCCACGTAGTTCATAAGCCCCACCAGGAGTGATTCCCAATCATGGAGCCAGGAGTAAGTCCTGAGCACCACTGGGTGTGGTCCCCTCTAAAAATGTTCTTATTTCTGAATCATGTCTGTTTTCAAAGATTTCACATTCCTTTTAATAGTTTCCGTTCCCTTTTAATAGTTTTGTGCTAACAAAAACATTAGCAGTTACTAAAAAAATAGTCCTAAAAATTTATCTAACCAGTGTTACTCTATGTAAATTGCAGGACCTGACTCATATTATTTTTTTCCCTTTACCTGTTGTACCTTTACCTTTACCTGTTGTTGATGCAGTGAGTGGTGGCGAGATGGGGAATGTCACACATTCGATTAAGATGCTTGCACATTTAGTTGTGGTGTATGCTAGGTATTGCACGTTTTAGTTGTAGTGTATCTTCATGCTTCATTGTGGTGCACCAGAGATTTTATGGTTTGTTGCAGTACCTCAAATCCCAATTGGCAGGGCTTCCTGGCTCACCCTCTACATACATACAGAGCACCGCAGGTATTGAACCCACAGCCATGGGCCTTCAAGACAGTCTTCAAGTCTCCGAGCACTGAGCTGTTTCTGGACCCAGAACCAAGGAGTTTTTTTTTCTGACTCTGTTCAGTAAAGCCTCTATGTTGCAATATTTGGCTCCATTTTATTTTGTTAGATAGGACCTATTATTCAAACTTCTAGGGATTTTTATAGGTCGATTTATCTCTGTCAGTTTATTAGGTTAGGGTTTAGTTTCAGCTTTGTGGTGTCAGCAAATTTGAAAAATATTTCATTAGCACTGTGCAGTACTCAATCATGTATTGAGTATTGAACAAAACTGCCTAAAGATGAGTCCTGAGTAATAGTATTTCATTAATGATAGTTCTTAGTATGATGTTATTTGCTGTTAGGATACTGTCTTTTTCAGTATCAAATTTGTATATTTTTTGTTTATAATAAGTTATCGAAAGAAAGAACAGGGGGAGGAAGGAAGTTATCAAGAGAATTATTGAAAGGGTTATGTTTTTCTGAAAGTAGATAATCAGTAGAGCATTCCTTAGTACATTTGTATTCCTACAGCTGTTTTTTAAAAATGGATCTTTTTTCAGGACTGGAGTAATAGCACAGTGGGTTGGTCGCTTGCCTTGCACGTGGCATACCCAGGTTCAATCCCTTGTATCCTGTATGATCCTTCAAGTACTGCCAGGAGTGATTCCTGAGATTTCTAGCAGATTCCTGGCAGAGCTAGGAGTAACCCCTGAGCATTGCTGGGTGTAGCCCCCACAAGAACCAAAAGGAAAATAAAAAATATATTTTTTTATTTTTATAAAAAATTGATCTTATTTTAGTCATTCATACAGTAAGCTTATACTGATTCCAAGAGATTAGGGTTTCAGACTTACTAGTTTCAGACTAGTTTCGGTTTTAAAACTTACTAGTCTTACTAGTCTTAGGGAGCCCTCTTTACTTTTGTGAAAGTTATATTTAAGTGAAATTTTTGGCTGTAACTGCTCCATTAAATTTTGGTTTAAATATAAGTTCTATAGAAGAGAAACCAAATGTTAAGAATTTTTAAAACCAGATTTTGAAAGGAAAATTTTCCTCCTTATGGGTTTTTGGAATAAAGAACAATTGAAACTTTTTTGCTTTGTTTTGGGTTGCCAATGTCTTTATACATGCAAAGCATGTGCCTTTCTACTAAGCTACAGCTTTATTCCCACGGAAACTTATGTTTTGACAGGAATTTAATTTAAGAGGTTGTCTAAAGTAAAGTATATAACTGGAAAACAAAACATTACTCTCAGACTATTAAAAGGAAAAGTGAGAAGAGGAAGATGACAGGGTGCGCAGTGAATTTAGCCAAAAGCCATGGTGTAAATTTAATTTTGCCCAGAAAATCAGAATGAGACCCAATGCTTTAAAGAAACTTGCTTAATATAGGGAAGTTGTTTTGCTTTGTTTTTGTTTTACTTTAGTCCCTGTGATGACAAAGAAGAGCACAGGAGAAAAAAAAAATTACTTGGTACAGTCACTTTTAGTGAAACTTGAGTTTTCTTTCCTTTTGTGATTCCAACCACTTTTCAATGGACTCTTAGGAAATCATTTTCTTCTTGTTACTCATTCATGTTTTAGGCTGAATTTTTATGGCTAATCAGCAAGTAGGCTATGTGACATGATTTGTCTAGGAGAGTTCAGATAGATTTCACACTCCATTAATTTGTAAAGCTTTTTCATATGACTTTGGTTTACTTCATTTTTCCAGAATAAGAATTTTGGGGAGAGATTAAAAATTAGATATTAGCTCTGGACACTTCTCAGTATGGAATATATGATTGTAAACCACAATATTGGTATTATTCAGAAAAGTAAGACATGAATCTGTTAAGGAAAAGTTAATTTGTAATGTTACATAAAACTGTGTTGGTGATATTTTATAAATTTTCATTGTATAAAAATGGGCTGGAGCGATAGCACAGCAGTAGGGCGTTTGCCTTGCACACCGTCGGCCCGGCTGAGTCGGGTTCGATTCCTCTGCCCCTCTAGGAGAGCCCGGCAAGCTACCGAGAGTATCTCGCCCTCACGGCAAAGCCTGGCAAGCTACCTGTGATGTATTCAGTATGCCAAACACAGTAACAACAAGTCTCACAATGGAAACATTACGGGGCCTGCTCGAGCAAATCGATGAACAACAGGAGGACAGTGACAGTGAGAGTGTTTAAAAATAGTATTACCACATAGAGACCACTACCACAATGACAGTTGGAAATGATCACTCGAACAAGAAATGAGTGCTGGGGCTGGAGCGATAGCACAGTGGGTAGGGTGTTTGCCTTGCACGCAGCTAACCCGGGTTCGATTCCCAGCATCCCCTATGGTCCCCCGAGCACTGCCAGGAATAATTTCTGAGTGTAGAGCCAGGAGTAACCCCTGAGCATAGCCGGGTGTGACCCAAAAAGCAAAAAGAAGAAGTGAGTGCTAAAAGTAGGTAAAGGGATATACGTGATGACCTTACAGTACCTGTACCGCAAACCATAATGACCAAAAGAAGAGAGAGACAGAGAGAGACAGGGAGAAGAAGAAGAGTATCTGCTGTAGAGGCAGACTGGGGATAGGGGATGTGGGGGGAGAAGAAGGAAGATAACTACACTAGTGAAGGGATGGGTGTTGGAACATTAATGACTAAAACCCAATTATGGATAACTTTGTAACTGCTTATCTCATGGTGATTTAATAAATAATAAAATAGTATTATCAATTGATATGAGTATATTAGGACATACAGGTTGGGTCCCATAAATGCCCACTGCCTGACAGGCTCGTAAGAATTGGTTGACAGATAAGGTCAGTAATGGATTATTAACATGGGAGAGTTGATTGAGTTTAAGGTAATCGTTGTATTTATTCAGTAACCACAGTTCAACTGAAAAGTAATTTTAGTACCTTTGTTCCTCAATTGATTTGGCAGGAACATATGCCTAGATCAACACAAATTAATTTTTAGTGGAATTTAAGAGTCTCCCATTCAACAAATATTTATTGAACACCAAATTGCCTACTATTGTGGATTTATATCATTGAGCCAAAGATTCTTATGCTCCTAGAGCTTATATTTGAGCAGGTAAGCAATAGAAAAATCAATTATATACTATGTTAGAAAGCAGTAAATGCTTCCAATATAGTTAATAGGCTAGAAGGAATAGGAGTTACTGGGGTGTGGGAAGAGTTTTGAAGTTTACTAATGAGTAGACCCTGATGAGAAAGTAAAAATTCAGGAGACTTGAAGGAAATGAGGTAATTAGCCATGTGGCATCTGGAAACGAGCATTCCAAGCAGATGGTACCACTGAAGCACATAACTACCAGAGCATTTAACATAAGTCTTTCTATACCTATTTTCAACACGTAGTTCAAATCCACAGAAACCCAAGTGAGCTCTTAGGGCCATGGCCTAATTGATTTTCTGTCTCCTATCTTTGTGTACCAGTCTTGCACACTGCTGTTATATTCCTACTTTGCTCCTAGATTCTGAAATCTTAATTACATCCTTTCCTATATATACTTGACACTCCCCATCATGGAGTTCTAGCTAGTGCTTCTCTAGCACAAGTACATGCTACTGTGTGCTGTTTTGTCAAACTCAGTATTCTATTACGTTACATAAATATATTTAAACCTTGCACATATTACTAAAGGCTCCTTGTTGGATTGCCTGCTAACTAGAACCTTTAAGTCGATAGACTTAATTGTTTACTATTAAAGTAAATAATTAGAATTCTCTGCTGATTTTCTCTGCCATTTGAAATTATTTTATTTTTTTTAATTATTTTAATCTTGATTTAAGTGCTACCAATTACAATTTGTACCCTACTTCTCATAATATTCCACACTTAGTACTTTAATCATTTCAGCACTTCTCTAACCCTTATATTTAGATTTGGAACTTAGATGTAAGAAACTGCTTGCAATTTCTTACTTGTGTTCTGCTGTAGCTCTATACCTTAGCAGCTGTTTTAAATAATACATCTTGAGTTGATTTTCTTTCACTTGTTACTTTCCACTAGGAATGATCAACAGCAACCAGCTGAGCTTGAAACTGAGGAAAATGTTATTCCAGATTCACCAATAACAGCCTTTTCTTTTTCTGGCGTTAATCGGCTACGAAGAAAAGAGAACCTTCATGTCCGTTATGTAGAACACACACATACTAAACTGAAGCATACCGTGTGTACAAATGGTAAGAACTGGAGAGACCAGGGCAGTTAGGGCTCTTGCCTTGTGTGCAGCTGATCCAGGCTTGATCCCTAGCGCCACATAGGTTCCAGAGCCCTGCCAGGAGTGATCCCTGAGCTCAAAGCCAGGAGTATAAAGTACCCTGAGTAATGCCAGGTATGTCCCAAAAAAAAGCAAAAAGAAGAAAGGTAAGGATTGAAACTGTTGTATTTTAGTTATCTGGTTGTACAAAAAGGTATTAAATCTGTTAATTTTTGCAGTATTTATCTGTTTGAAGGAAGATGGGCATTGTTTAAGTATATATAGATTATAACTGTAATCTTAAACTCAATATCAACTGGTGAAGTGATAATAAAAATGCTTTCTGTTAGTGTTAGATGTGCATTGCTCATGACCATGTAAATAAATACTAGACATTTTATAAATATGTTGGATAGTTTATTTTCCATTTTTCTTTTTAGCAAATATTCTTGGACCGAAGAGATATCTAGGTGTTTGCAGGACTCTGAATTTGATCCCCAACATAACATGTTCCCCGATATTCTTTCCCTAGCACCACTTGGTATATAGCCTGGGTGACCTACACCAGGCTAAATATTAACTATTGCACTTTTATTACATTGATTGGAAAATATGTGAGGAAATAGCTTCTTTAGAGAAGTTACTTCGAAAATAAAGGCCTTTATTTTTTAACCTAAATTTGTAATAAAGAGAATTTGAGTGGAAAACCAATCATGAATAACTCATGAATAACTTTGTAATTCTTAGTGACAAAGAAAGAAAGAAAGAAAGAAAGAAAGAAAGAGGATTTGAGTGAAAGAAATGTACATAGTACTAGAGATATTTTTATAACTTATTTACTTTTTGTTTGTTTGTTTGTTTTTGCTTTTTGGGTCACACTTGGCGATGCTCAGGGGTCACTCCTGGCTTTGCACTCAGGAATTATTCCTGGAGGTGCTCAGGAGACCATATGAGATGCTGGGAATTGAACCCGGGTCGGCCATGTGCAAGGCAAATGACCTACCTGCTGTACATCAATCCAGCCCCCTATAACTTATGTATGTTATTGACAATAATTCTGCCTTTTTTAAAAGGTATATCTTATTCTTTGATCTTAGACTATCAGCACATTATTTTTTTCCCGTTTTATATGAGCTTGCATCACCATCTAGTGGAAAACAAAAGAACTGTTAAGGAATGAAATAGAAAAGTAAAATGTAAAGTCATACAATCTACAATGTACATTCATTGACCTTTTTATTCTGGTCTCAGATCATGAATCATTATGTACAAGCAACTGTATAATATAGATGTATTTATATATATATATATATATGTGTATATATATATATAGATAGATAGTACCAAAAGTATCCTGCCCACACGGCAGAGTCTGGCAAACTCCCTGTGGTATATTCAATATGCCAAAAACCAGTAACAATGATGGGTCTCATTCTCCTGACCCGGAAAGAGCCTCAAATATGACATTTTCTAAAATCTCAGGGCCTAGGACAAAGGAGACGTTACTGGTGCCTGCTCGAGGCAATCAATGAACAACAGGATGACTGTGATACAGTGATACACTGAAAGTCCATGTGTAAAAATACCCACAGGAAAAATCTGAAAAATTTTATCAGCCTTTTATATGTAATATAATTACTGTGATTTATTTTTTCATTGTTTGGGATTAACATAATTATTCTTTAGTTATTTTAGTTTTCTAATTATTTTTGCTTAGAAATTTGGTTTTAAAATAAAAATTTTGAGCTATGCAAATTTTAATTTTTTTTTTATTAGTGAAACACCATGAGGTACAGCTGTAGACTTACAGATTTTTGTGCTTGGGTTTCAGTTATACAATGATTGAGTACCCATCCCTCCACCAGTGCCCATTCCCCAACTCCAATGCTACTGGAATCCCTCCCACCCCCCATCCCACTCCACCCCTGTGGCAGGGCATTACCTTTTGTTCTCTCTCTTCTTTTGGGTGCTGTGGTTTGCCAAAGAGGCATTGAGTGGCAATCATGTTTGGTCTGTGGTCTGCTTTCAGCATGCATCTCTCATCCTGGGAGGATCCTCCCAACACCCTTTATTTGGTACTCCCTTCTGTATCTGAGCTGCCTTCTCCCCCAGCATGTGCGGCTGGCCTCCAAGCCATGGAGTGAACCTCCTGGTACTTATCTTGGCTACTCTTGGGTGGTAGTATCCCAATTTGTTACTTTATATTCCCCAGATGAATGCAATCTTTCTATGTCTGTCCCTCTCTTTCTGACTCATTTCGCTTAGCATGATACTTTCCATGTAGTACCACTTGTATGTAAATTTCATGACTTCATCTTTTCTAACAGCTATGCAGATTATTTTAAAACAGATTTAATGTCTAGTTTATTATTTCTAGCCTTCGTTGCTTTTTTATCTTAATGCTTAGGGTGGTTCTTAATATTACTTTCAAGTTATAATTAATAAAAGTTTCTTTCTCTGTACTTTTTTCTTCTTTAACTTTGTTTGAATTAAGTCCTTGAGTAGCAAAACGATTTCTGGTGATACATGTTTTATAATCACCTTTCAGCAACTAAAACCTTATCCCACTTTCCTAACTTATAGCTTTGTTTCATAGTGAAGCAAAAGGAACAAATTTTTAGAATATTAAATATAAAATCAAGTTTATATTTATTTAGAAAAGTTATGGTTTGATTATATGTTTGATCATAATTATTTGTATGTAATATTTTCTTCTTTGACCCCCGTAGAATTAAGAAAGATTTCAAAGACTTCAACTCAATTGCAACAGAACCCTGGTGAAAATGAAATTCTTGTGGCTGACACTTGTGATCAAAATCAACCTCCAGCTAATAGTAAGTAAAACAATATGACTTTACAAGTTTAAAAGTTATGATTGTAGTTAGATAACAATCTAAAATAGATAATATTTTTAAGGTATTTTGTGTGGGACAGAGAAATAGTAGAGAGGGTAGGCACTTTCCTTATACAACACTAGCCCGGGTTCAATCCCTGGTATCCCATATGAACCCCCAAGCGAAAAGAAGTGATATGTGAGAGCAGAGCTAGGAATAACCTCAGAGCATCACTGAGTATGGCCCCAAAACCAACAACAACAAAAGGAAGTATTTTGTTTGTAGCATTAGTCGTTTGTTATTCTTTTTCAGTTTGGAAAATGATATGAAATAATATCCTATTATAAATTTATGTTAATATCCCCATTCATATTAATATAAATTGCTAATAATTTAAAAATAAGTTTAATTTGACAATATTTTATTTGAGATTCTGGGTAGACATTTAGGTAAATATGGGTAGATGAACATGAGTTTACTGGGGAAGTCTAGGATGGAGATTCATATAAAAGTTGTAGTTGTTAGCAAATACCTGTTCTATCCCTTTTACTTACAAAAATCACATATTTTATATCTGAAAAAGTTTGACAAGTATAGATGTTAATACAACTTTTTGCGGTAGTTTAGTTTTTTTTTCCTCATAGAAGTCCAGTACAATTGTGTAAAGTGTGTTGAGCTTTTTTCTGCATTGTTTACATTTTTTATACATCTAATTCCTATTATTATATAATTTTTAAAAATTTCTTATTTAGGAATACATGGAACAAACAATTACCCCACTGCTAAATCATCTTTTAATAATCCTACAGTTGTTGCTGAGACACTTGGAATTAATAGTCAAGAAGAATCTGTAAGTAATTGTTTGATGAATTAAAAGTTTGATTTTTTTTTCTTAGTCATTATGTAGAGGTTTAAGCAAGAGAGAAAAATTGTCTCCACATCATTATGGTTAGAAAGGCCAGTCCCCAGACCTCTGTAGAAGTCTGTAGAATTTGGGATGGATTATAAGTCCGCATCAACATTTAGGCAAGCAATAGTGACTTAGAGAATGTAGCCCTTCTTCTCTTCTTTCATCATTTCTGCCCCTCCTTTTTAATTTAAGAGAAAACTTAACCCCTGGGGTTGATTTCATAATTTATTTATTTATTTATTTATTTATGTATTGCTTTTTTTGGGTCACACCTGGCAATGCACAGGGGTTAGTCCTGGCTCTGCACTCAGGAATTACTCCTGGCGGTGCTCAGGGGACCATATGGGATGCTGGGAATTGAATCTGGGTCAGCTGCGTGCAAGGCAAGTGCCCTACCCGCTGTGCTATCACTCCAGCCCCATAATTTCATAATTTCATAATTTATTAAATTTTTTAAATTTATTAAATATAATTTATTAAATTTGTTAAATACTAAATTTTTAATAGCCTAAAAATCAGATTAGAAAGCAACCTGAGTTACTAGAAGTGTTAGTTATTGTTTGTCATTGTTAGTACCAGTTCAGCTAACCTAATACTTAGGAATAGAGTAAGAAGTAGATCCCATGATTTCCTTCTCAGTATTTTAGTGTTCTCTTACATTTACTTTTTCTTAACTGATACCTGTTTTTTTGTGTTTCATCCATATCATAGCATGTATCAGTATTTCATTCTTCTTTAAGGGTGAATAGTATTCCATTGTATGTATATACTTCTTATTTGACTATTGAAGGAATCTCAAGGTCCCATGAGCCCTCTTGGTGAGGAGCTCTATCACTGTCTGGAAGGAAGTGACAAGAAACAACCTTTTGAGAAATCTTCAAGGCATAGTGAAGATACTTTAAGGTAATTTGGGGGACTTTGGTAAAACCTAAAACTAATGATCATATCCATTAGCACTATTTCTTTCCCTCTATATATTCTAGTTGGTTTCTTTTTTTTTTTTTAAACAATTTTACCATCTGTTGAGGACTTTCACATTATGGTATAATGATGACTTAGGGGTGTGTGTGTGTGTGTGTGTGTATGTTTATATTTCTGTGAAGAGTACTTGAGAGGGTCTGAAGTGATAGCACAGCAGGTAGGGCATTTGCCTTGCACACAGCCGACCCAGGTTTGATTCCCAGCATCCCATATGGTCCCCTGAGCACCACCAGGAGTGATTCCTGAGTGCATGAGCCAAGAGTAACCCCTGTGCATTGCTGGGTGTAACCCAAAAAGCAAAAAAACAAAAAAAAAAGTACTTAAGAGCTCCTAATGTTATTACTACGCCCACTTTAGAAATCCAGTCATTCTTTATGGAATTGTATTTCCAAAATTGTGGTTTATAAAATGGATATACACAAATGCATCTGTAAGCTTGAATGAGCTTTCAAGGTTTTATGGCATCCAGATAACTTAAGGTAAAGGTAAAGGCCCTCCCGTTGATCGTCGATTTGCTCGAGAGGGCCCAGTAACGTCTCCATTGGAGACTTTGTTGTTACTGTGTCTGGCATATCGAATACTCTCGGTAGCTTGCCGGGCTCTCCGAGAGGGGCGGAGGAGTCGAACTCGGGTCGGCCATGTTGGCCGCTTGTAAGGCGAACGCCCTACCGCTGTGCTATCACTCCAGCCCTTTCACTGTTCACTGTTCTCCCATTGTTCATCGATTTTCTTGAGCGGGCCCAGTAATGTCTCCATCATGAGACTTTGTTGTTACTGTGTTTGGCATATCGAATACATCACGGGTAGCTTGCCAGGCTCTGCCGTGTGGGTGAGATACTCTCAGTAGCTTGCCGGGCTCTCCGAGAGGGGCAGAGGAATCGAACTTGGGTCGGCCATGTTGGCTGCATGCAAGGCAAACGCCCTACCCACTGTGCTATCGCTCCAGCCCTATCTATATTTATGAATTTCATTTTTAAAAATCATTTAATTTGTCCCTTTACTAACTCATTTAAGTCAGTTTTACCAACCACACTTTATTTCACGGTTAACAAAAAATGTAACTCAAAAGAGTTCAATCTCTTGTGTAGGGCCATATTGCTTTTATGTACTAGAACTAGAATTCTTACTCATCTTCAAATTTAAACGTGATCCTCTTTCTTTTCAGTTGTCTCCTCTGCATAAAGCAGGTTGGGGATTGTGGGTTGGAGTTTGAGTTCTGTGTTAATTTATTGTTTTCTCTAATTCAGAATTTTGTTTCTGGGCCAGAGAGAGTGCTTTCATGTAGCCAATCCCAGTTCAATCTCTTGCACTTGTATGGTCCCCTGAGCACCATCAAGAGTGGTACATGAGAAAAAGTCTGGTGAAAGCCCTGAGCATTGCCATGTGTGACCCACATCCCACCCCACCACCTGCCAAAAGAAAAATTTTTGTTTGTTTATTTCTTGGAGCTAATGCATGACAAGATTTCCTACCAAATAATTTTAAGCTGAATTATTTGAATTTACTGAACTTATTAATTTGAATTTGAATTATTAAGATAAATGAATTTATTAAAAATAAGATTTTCTTGAGCTTGGCATATAATTCCATTGGTAGAACTTTGTTCAATTCTCAGAAGCTCTAGCATTTTATGACTCCCAGAGCACTGCTGATTGTGGCTCCTGTTACAGTTTTAAATTTTAAACAATAATTTGAGAAAGGGTTTTAACTACACCTGGTGGCGCTTGGGAGCAGCTCCCAGCAATGTGCTAATGGGTCTATCTCAATGTTTGGTACTCGGCGCATTATGGGGTGCCAGGGATAGAACCCAGGCCTACTACATGCAAAACATGCACTCCAACCCTTTTAGCTATCTCCCTGATCCCAGTGATAAGATTTTTCTCAATAGTAAATTACTAGGGAAAATAGAATTATCATGATATTGAGAAAGTTTTTCTTTATCATTTTGCTCTGCTTTTTGTCACCTCAAGAACCACCAATAGCTGTACCCTATGTTAAATTTTGGTTAATTGCCTGTAATAAATGGATAATTATTAATATGCTATATTAGTAAAGGTTTTCTCATTTTTATTTTCACTCTGTCTATTTTGTGAAATATTAATAATAAGTTTTATTCTCCATTTAGATTTCTAGATTCTACTCCAAAGACTCCACCTCGGGAAGAAATGACTTCTCGGGCATCTTCTCCTGTGTTTGGAGCTACCCCTAATGTGAAAAATGGTTTAGGTTTGAATATAAGTTTGTCTCCTTCTCTTTTGGAGACTGGAACAAAAGGTCATTTGAGAATAGCACCTTTCAGCAACACTTCTAATTCTAGATCAGAGAAAGTTAGGTCAAAATCTGAAGATGGTTCTCTTTTCATACATCATAATATTGTGTCTGAAGTGAGCAAAATTTTTGGCCAGTCATCTTCTAATAAGCATATGCTTGCAAAGAAAAATGCAGGTGAATCCATAGGTGAAAAGGATAGTGCAGATCATATTAATGGTGCTGTTATGGATAAACATTTGATGCCTCTGAAATTATTGGGAGGCAGAATATCCAAAAGGAAGAAAACTGAGGAAGAAAGTGAAGATGAAGTAAACTGCCCCCAAGCCTCTTTTGATAAGGAAAATGCTTTCCCTTCCCCAACGGATAGTCATTGTACCATGAATGGAGACTATGTGATGGATAAGCCTCTGGATCTCTCAGACCGATTTTCAGCTGTTCAAGAGAAAGGTCAAGAAAGCAGTCAAGGAAGTGAGACCACTATAACCAGACTCAGGCAATTAAATCTTTATGAGACTTTAAAGCCCATATCAAAAGGCTCTTCTTCCTTTAGCCGAAAGACCCTAAGTGGGAGCTCTCTGTCAACCAAAGATTCCTCAGGGGAAGAGCCATGTTTACAGGACTGCATCCTCCAGTCCCTGAATAAATCCTCTCCAGATAATAAAACATCATTACAAGTTAAGGAAGAAAATCCCATCTTTAAGATCCCTCTACGTCCAAGTGAGAGTTTAGAGACAGACAGTCTTTTTGATGACATGAAGGTATGTACTTAAATATTCAAAATTTTTTATTGAAATGATTGTGATTTTATGCAGATGCTAATATTTCTTTCTGTTTTAGGATGCTGGTTCTCATGAGCCAATTAAAAAAAAAAGATCAGTCCATGGAGCATGTGAACTTGCATCAGTTCTTCAGTTAAATCCTTGTAGAATTGCTAAAACACAGTCCATACAAAACAACCAAGGTATAAATACTCTAGTATTTCTAGTCTTCTTAATTTATCTAAATTGAGTAGTATATTATAATCTAGTATTTACATTTAAGGATAGATTTGTTTGAGGGAAAAAAATTGTTTTCCTCCTACATGTTTCTGTGTTTATGGGATGCTTCTTACTGGTTTGATTTTCCACATGTAACTGCCTCTTGAGTTTTAAAAAAAAAAAAATGAATGGAGGGCTGGAGAGCTCGCTCCATGGGCTATAGTACTTTCCTTTATTGCAAGGTGCTATCCTTGGTAGCACATGTTTCCCAAACAACAGGTCAGGAGTAGCCCCTAAAGCCATTACTGGATATGTTCCAAAAACAAAATAAAAAGAATTTAGGGGTTTAGGGGCTAGGGAAACAGAACAGTGGGTAGGGTTCCTCCCTTACATATTTCATCTGGTTTCAGCCACATAGTAACCTAAGCACCTACAGGATTGACTCCTGAGTGATGAGCCAGAAATAACCCCTGAGTATCGCTAGGTATACCCCTACCCCAAAAAAAGAACCAATGGGGCTGGAGAGATAGCACAGTGGGTAGGGCGTTTGCCTTGCTCGCGGCCGACCTGAGTTCGATTCCCAGCATCCCATATGGTCCCCTGAGCACCGCCAGGGAGTAACTCCTGAGTGCAGAGCCAGGAGTAACCCCTGTACATCGCCAAGTGTGACCCAAAAAGCAAAAAAAAAAAAAAAAAAGAACCAAAAGCATTTAGGCAGTTAATACCCTTTTTTGGGGGGCCACACCCAGCAGTGCTTGGCGTCTATTCTTGATTCATTGTACATTCAGGGGTTGCTGCTGGTGCTGCTCAGGAGAGCATACAGTGCCAACAAACACACCGGCCCCTCCTGCATGCAAAGCATGTACTCTTTAATAACTATTTTTTTTAGATGACTTTATTCGTGTACCTATTCCATGCACTCATTTTCTTCATAAAGCTTTCAAGGTTTTTAACTTTATATTTTTAAGATTATAAGGCATGGAAATTCATCATCCAAACTAACATCACCTTGTGGATATCCAGTCCTTTTTTTTGTGGGGGATGGGGAGGGCTGGGCATTTACGTATATAGCTATAGCTATAAGCATTTTTTTATCTTGTTTATATATAAACATGTTTTTATCTTGCTTGCTCTAATGTGTATATGAATCCTTTATATAAATTTTGCTGTGTTCGAGTCTTTTTGTGAAAAGGTTATTTTTTTTAGATACCAAATATTTCTATACTTCAGATGTAAAAAATACCTCATTATTTTTTTGTATTACTCTACCTTGGAAAATTATTTATTTTGAGTTTATTTCCCTTTTTTTTTTTTAACTTAGACCTTCTGCATCCAAAGCATATGGTCATCTTGTTAAGCTGTTATCTCCAGCCCTTACAGTACAGTTTTCAGTTCTTCCAGCAAGGGGTTCAGTTCCTTCATGGAAAAACTTGTTTTTCTTGGTTGTCCAAGGGATTATAATGTACTACTTAAACTCATAGTTTCTAGGGTTAATATTGTATCACGTAATGTTTTTTACTATATTTTATTTATCATAAAATATATTAAAACATTGAAAATCCCTCTAGAGTTATATTTTAACATTTAAAACAAATTTTGAGATTAAGAATTACCAACTAACAGCCAGAGAGATAGTACAGGGATAAGGCACTTGTCTTGTACTCATCTGATCTCAGTTCAATCTCTGGCACTACATTGGGTACCCTAAGCCCTACCTGGAGTGATTCTTGAGCACAGAGCCAGAAGTAAACTTAAAATGTGGATGTGGCCCAAATCCCCTCCCTCCAGTTTATTTTAAAAATCACTTATTAAAATCTACAATTTTACCTGGTTGATCCTGCCAGTAGCATATGCTTGTCTCAAAGATTAAGCCATGCATGTATAAGAACGCAGGGCCGGTACAGTGAAACTGTGAATGGCTCATTAAATCAGTTATGGTTCCTTTGGTCGCTCGCTCCTCTCCTACTTGGATAACTGTGGTTATCTGATAAATTCTAGAGCTAAATTTATCAGATCAAAACCGATCCAGTCAACCTCCCCTCGGGGCGGGTGCCCTTGACTTTAGTGACTCTAGATAACGATCGCATGCCCCTCATATAAAAATACTAAGGGCTAAAAAAAAAAAAATCTACAATTCAGTAGTTTAGGTATATCCATAGAGTTATACAATGCTTACCTAGCTATACAACTATGTTAGAACATCTCCATCCCCAAAAATGTTCTCATCAGTACTGTCAGCAATTATTTTCCACTCTCCTCCTTCTCTCCTCCTAAAACTACAAATCTATTATGTCTATAGCTTTACCTCTTCTGAAATTTTCATGTAAATGGAATCATTAATACCCAAACATTGATAAATTCTTTAACTATTTGACTTTTTTCCACTATTACAAGTAGTGCTGCTGTGAACTGCAATGTGCAAGTGATTATATGGGTATACTTTTTTTTTTTTAAACCATAGTCCACACCCAGTGATGCTCAGGGCTTACTCCTGGCTGCACTCAGGATCAGTCCCAGCAGTGTTCAGGGGGGACTGTAAGGGGCCCAGGGATTAAATCTTGGTCAGTCACATGCAAAGCAAGCACACTGCCCACTGTACTCTCTCTGGTCTCTCCTTTCCTTCAGTTTTTGTGGTTTCTCTTTAAATTCTGTTTTGTTTGTTTGGTTTTTTTGGAGTTTTTTTTTTTAGTGTTGTTTTTTGAGTAATACATACATTAGAGTATAATTTCTGGCTATATCTAATTCTGTGTATAACCTTTCTTTTGAGGAACTACCAAACTCAAAGTAGATTTATCTTTTTTTATCCCATTTTATGAATGATCATCACGTGAAGGTTCCAATTTCTTCATATCCTCTCCAGCATTTATCTATTTTTTTAATCCTAGCCATCTTCTTAAAGATAAGTATATTCAAATACTGTTGATTTCATTTTTTAAGTTTCGAGCATATAATGATTTAACATTTATATGCAGTATGAAATAATCCCAATAAGTCTGTTTCTCATTTTTTTTAATTTATAATACAGTATTACATAGACCTCATGCTGTACACATCAGTTATTGCAGGAGTCAGTAGCTACAATTTTATGCCTCTTGATCTGCTTCTCCCACTTTGTACCACCTCTTCCTCCACTCCCCACTTTGGTAGCTACCAAAGTAGTTTCTGTGTTTCTCTTTATATGAATCTTGGTTTCTTTTTTTATTATACTTTGGCTTTTAGAATCTACAGGTGAGTGAAGTTATGGGGTATTTGTCTTTTTCTGTTCTATTTAACTTAGTATATTGTTCTGCAAGTCCACCAGTGTTACTAATAACAAGATTTCATTCTTCTTAATTACCATAGAATATTATTTCATGTAGTCATGTATTGCTTTACAATGTTTGGTCAATGATGATGATAGTCTCAGTAATCAAGGTAATATGACCTTAAGTATGGGGTAGACTATATACTGTAAGATATTCGTTTGACAGTGACTGGATCTAACGACACATTTCTCAAAATGCATCTCCATTGTTAAGGGACACAGGACTATGTATATCACACTGTAGCACTGTAGTACTGTCCTCCCATTATTCATCGATTTACTCGAGCAGGCACCAGTAACGTCTCCATTCTGAGACTTGTTGTTACTGTTTTGGGCATATTGAATACCCCACAGGGAGCTTGCCAGGATACTCTCGGTAGCTTGCCAGGCTCTCCAAGAGGGACGGAAGAATCGAACCCGGGTCGGCCACATGCAAGGCAAACGCCCTGCCCACTGTGCTATCGCTCCAGCCCATGTATACCACATCTTCTTTTATCTCTTCATCTATTGATAGACATTTTTACAATATTAACTATTCTAATTAAACCTACAATGAAAATAAAGCTGTATATGTCTTTTAGAATTAGTAGTGTCATTTTCTTCAGATAAACAACTATAAGTAGATTGCCTGGTGGTGTAGGTAGTTCTATTTTGAGCCTGTTGAGGAAACTCCATACTATTTACCATAGTGACTATTCTAATTTACATTTTCACGAACTGTGCATGAGGATTCCTTTTTCCTCCACATTAACACCGATACTTTTATTCTTACATTTTTGATGATAATCATTCTTACAGGTACAAGATGATATCCTCCCTGTGAATTTGATGAGTATTTACCTAATGGCTAATAAAATTAAGCATCTTTTCATTTTCATTAAGCCATCTCTTTTGGAGCACTATCCATTCAAACCCTTTGCTGACTTTTAATTGGGATATTTGTCTTATTACTGAGCTGTGGGAAGTCTTTATATAATCTCGGTACAAGTCTATCAGGCATATATAAACTTTCCTGTCATTCTGGGTTCAATAATATTTTAAAATTATAAGAACTTTTAAAATGATTTCATTGTCTTTTTTCCCCTCCTTACCTAAGATGTATCCTTTGAAAATAACCAGTGGAGTATTGATCCAGGAGCTGACCTTTCTCAGTATAAAATGGATATTACTGTAATAGATACAAAGGTAAGATTAAAAATAAAACCAAAGCCTGTAGTTCTTATTCTAATGAGTTGTTAAATGACCTCCTCTGACTCATTCTGTGACCTTAAGATAGTTATATATCTCTTTAAACCTGCATATAGAGGCCTCAGAGTTGATTCATGTCACTCTGTGATCCCCCAAGCACCCAGTTTTGCCCTGGTCACCCCATAGGTCTGCTGAACCCAAGCAATACAGCATCACCAATCCTGAGCTTGGAACTGTTCTGCACACACAACTAAGACAATTATCTGGGCCGTTTGAGCACTCCTTGGGAGACCAACTTTTTTTTTTAAGTTAATTAGTTTTTAATGTACCATCAAGGAAAAAATTTCAATTTTCTCAGTGACATTTTTATGTAGTTTTGTTTTTAGGGTCACACCAACCCAACGATGCTCAGGGGTTACTCCTGGCTCTATGTTCAGAGATGACTCCTGGCAGTGCTCTGAAGACCATATGGATGCCAGGATCAGACTTGGTTGTCTACATGCAAGGCAGATGGCCTCCCTTCTATACCCTTATTTACTTATTTATTTTATGAATTTTAAAAAGTGGAACTTATATGCATATGCATGCTGCTATCCCTGGTTTAATCTCTGGCTCCTATATTTAGTTTCCCTTGTTTAGCAGGAGTGATATCTAATGACAGAGCCCAGGAGTAAGCCCTGAACACTTCTGAGTATGGCCCAAAAAACAAAAATAAAGCAGCAATAATAAATAAAATGGAACTCATAATGGAAATAACTTTTTGCTTAGATTTTGGTTCTATGTAGTTTGAGAATTTCTCATTCACTTGGTAGCACATTAATGAGTATTAGCATTTGCTGCAATAATTTGTGTTCATCAAGAATCAAATTTGGCTTATTAAATCATTGCTTATAGTGCACACTGATGTTTATTACTATGAGGCAGATCAAAGAAAGGAAGGAAAGTTTCCAGAAGAAGGGCTCTCTTCATGATGGCACTGTTACTAGGCTTGAGAAAAGATATTTTTATATTAAATAAAATATTTATAGGCAGTTAAACTAAATCTAGCTATATTCATTCACAAAGGGTTAAAGTACATATAACTTAATGTTACTGAAATGTGCAATCATGGTTAAAATGATGATATTTATGTTTATAAGTAAATGTCAGACATTAATGGAATAGTGTTACAATTTTGGTATTTTTTAATACTTAGGATCAAAGTCAGTCAAAATTAGCAGGGGGAGAGACAGTGGATGTGGACTGTACATTGGTTAGTGAAACGGTACTTTTAAGAATGAAGAAACAAGAGCAAAAAGGAGAAAAAAGCCCAGGTAAGCCTTTAGTAGATTTTTTTATTTTAATGAAAATATAGAGGAAAAGTTATGCTCATATCTTTATCCTGACTGAATACCAGTGTTCTTTTAAACCAAGTAATTGTTTTTTTCCCCATTCTGATAATAATAATTAGATTCTCATAGCAGTGCTCCATCTTTGTATTTCAGAGGAGCAAAAATCTTTAACCAAAATAATTTCTTCAGAAAGAATTCAAATACTTTCTAGGGCTCAGCAAACTATAACTAGTTGTTAGTCTTACAAACAAAATTTTATTGGACTACAGCTTTTCTCATTTATTTGCCTATTGTCTTCAGCTGCTTATGAGGACAACAGAATATTTGAGAACTTGTTGCAGACTTTATGACCCCCACAAGCCTAAAACATTTACTGTCTGAGTTAAGAAAAAGTTACTGACCTTGGTCTAGAAAATGTTTTTATGGAAAAATGTAAAAAGTAATCTCAAGAGTATTGTTTTAGAAATATGACTTTCTATAATAATTTAATAAGGAAAGAGGATGTGGTAAAAGGTAAAGATAAAGGCCCTCCCGTTGATCGTCAATTTGCTCAAGCGGGCCCAGTAACGTCTCCATTGGAGACTTTGTTGTTACTGTTTTTGGCATATCGAATACTCTCGGTAGCTTGCCGGGCTCTCCGAGAGGGGCGGAGGAATTGCATTGAAAAATACTAGTATAGATATGCAAAACACTAGTTTAGATATGTGGTAAATTAACCCTGCTATTTTCTGCTTCTACAGAAAAGGGGATTTGGGCACCTGAAAGGCTTACTTACAAGTAACCCCTTGTAAGAGAAACTGTTTATTCTTTAAGTCTTAGTTTTTCAAAAGATGTGGGAATACCTTAATAACATCCCTAAATACAGACATGAAATCAATTAAAACCTGACATTTATTGATTTACTCTCCTTTACACTGTGGAGGTATTTCCACCACCTCTACTACTCAGCCAACGCCACGCTCCAGGACGCTTTCCAGACTGCACGGCCACGTGACACGTCATAAGACACTTAATACCCATCTTCCAAAATTACCACACCATAATTGATAGGGTTCAAATATGGTTTGAACCATGGGAACACCTGCAAGGGCAATTAGAGGCCACGCTAAAAGGCTCTGTCCCTCTCGGAAAATCTGGCAAGCTACTGAGAATATCCCGCCCGCACGGCAGAGCCTGGCAAGCTATCTGTGGTGTATTCGATATGCCAAAACCAGTAAATACAATAGGTCTCATTCCCCTTACTCTGAAAGAACCACCAGTACAGCAGCGTTAAGAAGGATGAGAAAGGAGAGGTTGATAAAATCTCAAGGCCGAACACAGCTGCCCAAACAAAGAAGGACAAAAATGACTGTCTGTACTTTCAGTGCATGTACGCTGGCATTGGATTCATCCATTGAGGACCAGATGGTACACGTGTGAAAGATCAAGTACGACATCATTGGTCTGACCGAGATGAGAAGGCATCAGTCACATCATGCCGTTTTTGACACTGGAGAACTGTTCCTCGGAACGTGCGACAAAAGAGGCGCCGGTGGTGTCAGTGTCCTTGTCAATACGAACTTGGCCATGAGCATTGATTCATTTGAATGCCTAACAACCCAAATTGGACGATTACACTTGAACAGATGTGGCTCACTACAGGCAGTTTCTATCTTCATTGTCTACGCACCAACCTCCAATTATGATGAAGGAAAAATTGAGAAGCTCTACGTGAAGCTGGAGAAGTTCTATAAAGAAGACCATACCTTCTACAAGATCATTGTCAGTGATTTTAATGCCAAAATAGGACCAAGAAGATCAGCCAAAGAACTCCACATCGGGACCCATGGCCTAGAATGGAATGAACAGAGTGAGAGACTGTCTGAGTTCATCATGTCAACCAAGACCATCCTTGGTAACTCACAGTTTCAGAAGGCCGAATCTAAACGTTGGACATGGGAGTCTCCCAGTGGATAGTTCCACAGTGAAATTAACCACATCATATTCAATTGACAATTTTGCCTGACCGATGTCGCTGTTGTCCCAAAATTCCAAACAGGATCTGACCACCGTCTCCTTCGTGCAGAATTCTACTTCACGGAGTGGGGAGAAAGGGCTGCAAAGTTTAAGAAGAGAATTTCCAGAATGACCACCAACTAGGAGCTCTTTGGCACTATTACGGCAACGTGGGAAGATGCTGTCATTGACAACATTGATGAGGAATATGATTGACTGGTTCAGCAGCTCCGTGATTGTGCGAGGAATACTGAGAGAAAGATGCCCAGAAAAAGACACCTGTCTGGGCTAGAGTGATAGTACAGCAGGTAGGGCGTTTGCCTTGCACGCGGCCCACCCGGGTTTGACTCCCAGCATCCCATATGGTCCCCTGAGCACCGCCTGGAGTGATTCCTGAGTGCATGAACCAGGAGTGACCCCTGTGCATCGCCAGGTGTGACCCAAAAAGCAAAAAAAAAAAAAAAATCAAAAAAGACGCCTGTCTTCGAAAACTCTTGAGCTCATTCACCAACATGGCTTGGTAAAAGCCTCAGGCAACCGCAAGCAAATGTCCAAGTTCACAAAGCAGTTCAGAGAAGCGATCAAGGAAGACCTCAAAGAGAGAAGAGCAGAAGTGCTGGCATATGTGGCAGAAGCTGGGTAAAGCATTCACAATGCCTGCCTGTCCTTCGCCAACTACAAGACCAAGATGACTGCCCTCTGACATCCTGATGGATCTATCACATCTTCCAGAAGGGCAGTGGAGAAGATTATCCATGACTTCTACTCAGATCTCTTCGATAGCCATGTCCACCTGCCCACATACCAAATTCCACAGGATGGATATGTCATTCCCAACGTTCTCCTTCCCGAAATCCAACACGCCATTTCGTCAGTAAAGAAGTGAACAGCACCCAGCCCAGACAAGGTCAGACCCGAACACCTGAAGAACCTGAAGAACCTGCCGTCAGTACTCATCAATACACTGGCTAGCCTCTTCACATGCTACCTGTCTGAATGCAAGGTTCCATCCCAATGGAAAACCAGCAGGACTGTACTACTGTACAAGAAGGGAGACATCCACAACATTGACAACTATCGCCCAGTCTGCCTGTTGTCTGTCGTCTACAAGCTGATCACTCGAGTCATCCTGAATAGGATTGGCAGAACACTAGATGGAGAACAACCATGCGAGCAAGCCGGGTTTCGCAAAGGATTCAACAGAATCTACCATATCCACACAATAACCAAGCTCACTGAGGTTTCTCCGGAGTTCAAGATGCCACTCTGTCTAACGTTCATTGATTTAAAGAAGGCCTTTGATTCTGTTGAGGCGGAAGCGGTCATCGAAGCCCTAGCAAATAGGGCATTCAAACTCAATACATCAGGATCCTCCGTGAGCTGTATTACGGATTCACTAGCAAGATCTCACCATTCTACAAGGAAGTGATCATCCATGTCAAGAGAAGGGTTCAGCAGGGTGATACCATTTCACAGAAACTCTTCAGTGCCACCCTCGAGAACGTCATACGACGACTGGAATGGGAAGGAATGGGAGTGAAGATAGACCGTCGGCAACTATACCACCTCCACTTCACTGATGACATCGTTCTAATAACACCAAACATTAGCCAAGCGACACACATCCTGGCCGACTGTGACTGTGAGTGTGGAAAGGTTGGACTTCAGCTGAATCTCACGAAGAAAATGTTTATGAGAAACAGTCTCGTTCCTGACATTCCATTTGCTCTCAATGGAATGAACCACTGGAGTAGAGCCGTTACCGACTGCATTCCACCGGACATCAAAATATTGTGTGGCCACCCACATACAAGATGGTCAAACATCTTTGTCAAGATCCTGAACGATTGGTTTGAGGCTCTTGTGTTCCTAGAACAAGCAGACGTCGTTGGGCTACACTAGCACGTGACAAGGACGAATGGAAACGTTACTGGCACCCGCCTCGAGCAAATTGATGAGTAATGGGATGTCACGTGATAAAGTGATTCCCCTTTACATATTAAAGAGTTAGGGCCTGTCACATGGCCTCTGCAGCTGAAAGCAGAGGCTTTTCCCAGTGATCATCTTTTAGACAAGGGAAATTCAAACCATATACATTCCCTATCTTCTGCAGAGTATTCTACCTGCTAAAGATCAAATAATAAAGCAACCAGTGTTGTCTTCATTTCCTTTGAAGTACTTATCTTTTGCTACCCTAAAATGCAGCGTGAGAGAAATTTTTGGTAGTTTTAAGTCTGTGTTCTTTTTTTGTTTTGTTTTATTTTTTCAATCACAAGATATGATACAACTACAAAGCTTTCATGATTGAGTTTCAGTCATACAATGATCTAACACCCATCCCTCCACCAGTGTGCATTTTCCACCACCAATATCCCCAGTATTCCTCCCGTCCACCCCACACCACTCCACCCCACCTCCTGCCTCTATGGCAGGTAAGTGTATTCTTTAGGAATAAAAACTACCCATATGGTTGAGTAATTGAGTTCTTGGGTTGAGTGGTCAGTACCTGTTAAAAAAAACATAAACAGTGGTTTGTTGACTTTTAATAATAATAATGTGTAAATACCTTTTCACTAACACATTTTTATATAGAAAACAATTCTAAGCCATAAACATGCCTGATATACATGCTATATACATTTATATATTCACTTACTCAAGCCTCTGATCCAATTTAGCTTATTTCTAGATAGTATCAACTACTTTTAGTCATTTACACAAATTCATAAGAATAAAGATCCGTAGGCAACAAGATGAAAAATTGCATATGATGTAAATTATTATTTGGCAGGGTCACAAATAAATGTCATGTGAGTTGTCTACTAACGATAGTTAATGCTGGAACAATAGTGCAGTGGGTAGGGCATTTGCCTTGCACGCAGCCGACCCGGGTTAGATTCCACTGTCCCTCTCAGAGAGCCCAGCAAGCTACCAAGAGTATCCTGCCCACACGGAAGAGCCTGGCAAGCTCTCCATGGCATATTCAATATGCCAAAAAGTCTCACAATGGAGACTCAATATAACAGCAAGTCTCACAATGGAGACGTTACTGGTGCCCACTCGAGCAAATCGGTGAACGAGGGGAGGACAGTGCTACAGTGCTAAATACCTTTTCAGTGAGATTAAAAAAAAATTTACTTGCTTGTAAATGTTTATATGCACTAGGAGTGCAAAGTTACCACACCATACCATCACCAAATAAAACAGTAAAAGTGGGACCAGAGCAGTGATGTAGCAAATAGGGCATTTGTCTTGCATGTAGCCAACTGTGGTTCAATACCTAGCATCTCTTATGGTCCCTTAAGCCCTGCAGGAATGATTACTGAGCGCAGAGCCAGGAATAAGGCCTGAGCACCACCGGGTATGGCCATCCAAAAAATACAACAGGAAAAAATACCTTTCATACAACATCTCTCTATAGATATAAACATTTATTAAAAATACATGAAATGTACACATATATTTAGGCTTGAGAGAATACCGTGAGTAGCCTTGCATGCAGCCAATTCAGGTTTGATCTCCTACTTTCCATGTGGTCCCCCAAGGCCCATCAGGAGTAATTCCTGAGCACACAGCCAGAAGTAACCATTGAGCACCGCTGGGTGTGACCCTCCCCCCCTCCCAAAAAAAAAATAGAATAAAGAATAAAAGTGCTAGAGCATGAGATTTGAAGAGGTAGTAGGCTTTTTATAGAATAATTCACATATACTTTTGTTCTCTTTGTTACCCATTCCAATTTCCAGTTTAATCTGTTTTTTAGTGAGTTTTTTGTTTAGTTTTTTTTTCTTTTTTTTTCCTTTTTGGGTCACACCTGGCAATACACAGGGGTTATTCCTGGCTCATTCCTGGCTCATGCACTCAGGAATTACTCCTGGCGGTGCTCGGGGGACCATATGGGATGCTGGGAATGGAACCCGGGTCGGCTGCGTGCAAGGCCCTACCCGCTGTGCTATCACTCCAGCCCCCTTGTTTAGTTTTTTGTACCATACCCAGTAGTGCTTAGGGCTTACTCCTGACTCTGCACTCAGAGATCACTCCTGGCAGAGCTCAGGGATACTGGGAATCAAGACCTGGATCAGCTGCATGCAAGGCAAGTGCCCTGCCCACTGTACCATCTTTCGAGTCCCCTTTTAGTGTTTTTTAAAATCTGATTTGTATAATGGGATTTTTAATGGGGAATGTAATTAGTATTCTAAAGATGTATTTATCATTTTAAATATCAAATATGGAATTGAATTATTAATATGAACATTAAACTACTAGTTGTTAATAAATGGTGCAAAGAAATAGTTTTTTCCTACCACTGTAGCACTATAGCACTGTCCTCCTGTTGTTCATCTATTTGCTCGAGTGGGCCCAGGAATGTCTCCATTGTGAGACTTGTTGTTACTGTGTTTGGTCTATTGAATACATCACAGGTAGCTTTCCAGGCTTTGCCATGTGGGCGAAATACTCTCGGTAGCTTGCCGGGCTCTCCAAGAGGGGTGGAGGAATTGAACCCAGCTCTGCCAGGCCGGCGGATTGCAAGGCAAACACCCTACCACTAAGATCAAGTGTAGTATCTGTTCTTATCAGTTTTTCCTACCATATTAAAAAAAAATAAGTAGTAGTAGGGCTGGAGCGATAGCACAGTGGGTAGGGCGTTTGCCTTGCATGCGGCCGACCTGGGTTCTGTTCCCAGTATCCCATATGGTCCCCTGAGCACCGCCAGGAGTAATTACTGAGTGCGGAGTCAGGAGTAACCCTTAAGCATCGCCGGGTGTGACCCAAAAAGCAAAATAAAAAATAAGTAGTAAGTAGAATTTTGTATAGATTTTAATGTCAGCTACTTGTATGTATTTTAAAACATTAATATTTTTATCATTCACTATGATTTTTCTATACTTATATATTTTATATTCTTCAGTTTATTTGGCAGGATTCCTTTTGATTTAGTACAAATTATCAGTTGACAGGAGAAGACGTTAATGTTTGTAAAGAATTAGCAAAAGCTAGCACTGTCTTTATATGAGTAAAGCTATAATATAAAGCATACATTTAAGACAATAATATAAAACCTTTGTAAATGTCTAATAACTACCCAGACTTGGGGTTTTATTCTTGGCTCCTGCAAATCAGTATTATTTCATGTAAGTTACTACAAGTTTCACATTGTTGTACCTAGAAAGCAAGAAGTTTGCTTATTTCTGTAAACCAATGCTTTTTATTCTTACATAGATGGAGAAAGAATAATGAATGATAGTTTAGAAGATATGTTTGATCGGACAACACATGAAGAATATGATTCCTATTTGCCAGATTGTTTCTCACAAGTAGCAGGTGAAGAAGAATTGTCAGCTACCACAAAGAAACCAAATGGTATGGTTATTTTCTTTCTAAATGACTTCTTTATCCCACTGAATTCTGCAAATTAAAGCACAGAGGGTAGGGCGTTTGCCTTGCACAGGGTCGACCTTGGTTTGATTCCTCTGCCCCTCTTGGAAAGCCTGGCAAGCTATTGAGAGTATCCCATCCGCACAGCAAAGCCTGATAAGCTCCCTGTAGCATATTTGATATGCCAAAAACAGTAGCAACAAATCTCACAGTGGAGATGCTACTGGTGCCCACTCAAGCAAATCGATGAGCAATGGGAGGACAGTGCTACAGTGCTAATTTCAGATTTGATAGTTATATTAAGAGTTAAGGTTTCATATTCCTTGTATAAAATTTTTTTCACGATTCTTTTAGGTAATTTCACACTAATAGAAAAGTTACCCCAAAAAGTTCAGAAGATTCCACTTTGCCATCCATTTAGTGTCCCCTCATTAACATCTTAAGTAGCCATAAAATATTTCTCAAAACCAAGAAATCTATATTGATTCAATACCATGTTTTTTTATAACATAAACACAAAGCATGTAAAAACATAAGTGTACAACTGAATAAATAGGAGTACTCCTACATTACTATATACATATATGTGTGTAATTGTAATAGAGTGGAAGGAAAAAGTTTTTCCAAAGATTCAGATTCATATTCTACTTGAATGATTTACAAAGTACCAATTGTAATATATATTTATGTGTGTGTACTCAATAAATAAGTGGTGTGAGTGCTTTCGCCATGTGCGTTTGGTGGCCATGAGCCCCTAACCCACCCTGGCCTGCTACTGCTGCCAACAGACACATGAAGGAGGGAACAGGGCCACCAGGCTGGTTGGTAATCAGTCGCCATTTATTCCAATCTTGGTCTCACGATTTATTCCATTTTCCCCGTGCTCCTGTTTCAGTCTCACTGAGTGTCCCTTCCAGTCTCACTTTGTCCCTCTCCTCCTATCCTTTATGCTTCTCTCCACATGTCTCTCAGCCAAGCTTTTGGGGTAGCAACTACACCTATGTTAGATAGCACAATCAACATAGTAAAGCTTTGGGAAGCGCTTCTAAGACAAAGATCTCTGGCTAGATTTGCTCAAGGGCAGAATTTCATATAAGGACATACTTCTCCTTTCCTTAGTCCATAAACAACCATCTTAGATTTACTTACTCCTTAATAATCTTTGTAGTCATGTATGGACACAGTAAGAGATATATTAATCTTATAGGGTGGCTCTCTTGGGAACATCTCACTATAGATCCCAGACTACAGTTCTCAGGCCAGATTAGTCCTTCCTAACACTAGTAGTGTCCTTGTCCAGTCACTTTTCTTTGGATCATGACACAATTTGTCCACAACCATGCTCTTAAAATGATAAGTTTTATGGTACTTGGCCTGTCCCGTTTCAAGGGCTTGCCCTAGGTCTATCCAGTCCCTTCGTTACAACCCTGCTTTTGGGGTGCTAGCTAGGAACTAAGAACAACTGAGGCTTTAAGTTAAGTAGATATGCCAGATACCCAGGAGTAAATATTATCCGCAGTCAATTAACTCCCAACTTACAAAAGCATAGTGTAGCATTAACTGTCTTCCTGTGTCTGTGCAAAAAGGAAATTGCTCTGAAGTAAACTATGCAACTATGCAAAGGACAGAAGGGAAAGAGAAAAGCAATACTTCACTTAGAAATACAAAATTCAGAGTCCTTAGAAGGATCTGACCTTACAAGTCACAGGTTCTGTTTAGGGGAAATGAGTGATTAACCGATAGAAAAAGCAGAGCACAGGGAAGAGAAGTTAAAAATGAATACCAAGGAAATGACAGTGCTTCGGGAGCATTGTGATGGATATTACCCAATAAACCTAAGCTCCCTGAGGCAGAGGAGTAAGGACAACCAATGTTTCCCTACATATGTGTAGGTCTTCTAAGATCCCTTTCATTAGAGCAGTAATTTTACAATGTAGAATAGTGGTCAAAAGAATAAGAGAAATTATTAGATTATCTTGATTGAAAATTAAAATTCTAAATATCTCACCTTCTTACTATGAGTAAAGCAGTCATTAATTTTAGTCTAATGCATAATGCTTCTGTGTTTAAAAATTGGTGGGAGGACCACACCCAGCAGTTCTCAGGAGTTACTTTTGGCTCTGCACCACTCTTGGCAGGCTCAGGGAATGCCAGGGATCAAACTCAGGTCAGTCATGTGCAAGGCAAGCACCTTATCCTCCAGACCTTGGTTCCAGCTCCTAACACAAAGTGTTTTAAACTGGTTTATTTAGTGTTTTGTATTGGCATCGATGAGCACATATCCTGATAATGGCCACATTATCATTTAAAAGAACCACTCTGAAATGGTCTAAATATATATATATAAATAACATGTCTACATATGTATTTTTTATATAGTTTTTATGTGTGGTGTAAAATAGGTTTTTTTAAAGAAAAACTCTAAGGAGGGGCCAGAGCAATAGTATATAGTGGGTAGGGAATTTGCCTTGCACTCAGCTGACCTGGGTTTGAACCCAGCATCCCATATGGTCCTCCAAGCACCATCATGAGTAACCCCTGAGCATCACCAGATGTCACCCAAAAAGCCAAAAGAAAAATCTACGAAGCAAAGAAAGTATGCATTGCAGTCTGTGATGGTAGGCAGCAATGAATATGCTCATATAGAATTTTTGAGTCTTAGATACTTACATAGATTTTTTTTTTAAGTTTTCAGCAATTCTGAGTAGGATGAATCCTTTCATCTATATGAAAAAGAGAGGGGAAAAAATTATTCTGGAAATTTTAAACAATGTACCCAGCAACTTGGAAAAGGAAATAAAATAAAAACTGAAATTTTATTATGTGCTGTATTTTTCTTAATATAGCTGATCATCCCTCTGTATGTTTTTATATTTATTTAATTATTGTTACTATTTTGTGTTTGGGGCCACATCTGGTGGTGCTCAAACTTACTACTGGCTCTGCACTCAGGGATCACTTCTGACAGGTTCAGGGAGCTATATGGGGTACTAGGGATCAAATCAGGTCTGTCTGTTTACATGGCAAGCATCCTGGCCACTATACTATCTATTGGGCTCCTCTCTCTAAGTTCTAATTTAATTTGTGATGGTTCGTTGTATTTATAGCTCATGGTGATAAACAAGATAAAATCAAACGGAAAGCATTTGTGGAGCCATATTTTAAAGATGACGAAAGGTAAGTTGAACTTGACTACTAGCAACAGTGTGATACAGTAGAGCTATCTTTGACAGAGTATATCTTACTGCTAAATTGGTTAAAAAGAATACATATCACTTTATGAATATAATAGAATTGAAACTTAAGTATATAAATGAAAATTTAAAAATAAGAAAAATTTTACTACCATTGTATATATTGTTTAAGTAGTGGTGATGGTTATTTTCTTTCTTTTAATGTAAACTTTATTTGAACTTTGGGGGGTTTATTATATACTGTTACCTCAGTGGGGGTTTTGTCTGAATTTAACTTCCTCTTATTCACACCTTAAATAGCTATAAAATATTCCTCAAAACCAAAGAAACCCATATTGATTCAATAGTATTTTTAGTATACTTAAAAATGTATATTTCTTTATAGTATAAGCATAAAGTGTGTAAAAATAAATTGTAATAGAGTATATAAAAACGTTGTGGTTCCCTGGTAATGCTCCTAGCTCTATGCTTAGGTGTCATCCCTGGTAATATTTAAGGGAACAAATGTGGGGACATAGTTTAAGTAGTTAAGTATATCCCTAGCATTTTCAAGGTCCTCAGTTTGATCCCAGCACCACATCGACATTCTGGCATTGCCAAATTGGCCCCGTTGGCTCCACAAGGACCTCTAGCCTGAGCAGCACTGCACCACCGGGCCAGAGCACTGAACTCTCCGCGGGGTGGCCCCTACCAAAAAAATTGTTAAGAATTTTTATTTTGCAGCTTAATGCTACTTTCTGTCTTTTATGCCAAGATTGTTGTATTATTCATTCTAGAATAAGGCATAGTCAATAATAGATTTAAGGCATAATAATTCCTTCTAAAAATGTTTTATGTTCTTTCTCCTTTTATGATATTGGCAAATTGAGTCAGTTAACAAAGTTCTTTACTTTTTTGATATCTGTTCAAAAATTTAGAAATCTGACAGGTCCTGGGGCTGGAGCAGTAGCACAGCGGGTAGGGTGTTTGCCTTGCACGAGGTCAACCCAGGTTCGATTCCCAGCATCCCATATAGTCCCTTGAGCACCACCCGGAGTAATTCCTCCTGAGTGCATGAGCCAGGCTGAGTAACCCCTGAGCATAGCCTGGTGACCCAAAAAGAAAAAAAAAAAATAGAAATCTGACGGGTCCCTAGAGAATAGGGAGGAGAAGAAAAGAAATAGAGTGAATGGGAAGGGAAGATCAATCAATGAGAAGCAACAAGAGCAGGGGTCAAGGAGATTCAGGTACATCAATGGTATCAAGGAATGATAGAGCTAAATATCCAATCCACAGAGTCAAAAACACTGAACTTACCAGACCCAAACTTATTTAATAACCAAAGTTAAAAGATGCCTGTCAAGAGGGCAGGCTGGGGCTGGGGTAGGGTGACCAGAGAGGGAACCTGGGAGAGGGAAGTTGACACTGGCAGGATCTGTCATGGAACATTGTGTGTTAAAAAACCCAACTATAAATAACTTGGTAACTAACGGTGCTTTAATAAAATAAACTTTGGGGGCGGGGGAAATCTGATTATCCAAAATTAATCTCCACTGATGCCTCTCAGACCCTACTAAGAGCTAGCATTCTACTGTTTTGTTGTTGCTAAATGATAATTTTTTATATGCCAAATTTCCAAAGAAACAGTGCCCTAGCATCTCAAATGTGATGTAGAGTTTTTTGTCTAAGTATCATTATGAATTCATGAATTTTAATATATTTGAGGCGAGGGAGCCAGCAGAAGGTTCAGGGGTACATGCTTTGCATACACAGGCTCCTGATTCAATCCCTGACAGCACATGGCCCTCTGAGCACCAGCAGATACAGTCCTGGAGCTTCCCCCACCCACCGTACAATCAAGCCCAGCATCACCAGCATCCCCTGGTGGTCCCAGGCATTCCATGGTCTCAGCAACTCTACATCATATGGCCAAGCACTGTGGCCATGTTGGCCAAGTTCTCCCCCCCTTCCCCTGCCCCATAAATGTGTGTGTGTGTGTGTGTGTGTGTGTGTACATATATGTATTTAGGTGTTTAGGTCCTTTGCGGTTATTTTTCTTATTGATAATGACATTGCTCCATCTTTCACAGTAGAAGCCTCTTTGAATGAACCCTTTCCTACTCATCTTTCATAGCCTCCTTCTATTATAATAAGATGCTCCAGTTTCTCTTAGACACTTACTTGCTGCCATAAGCCTGGAATTTGCCATTTCAATAGGAGCCTCAATGAATATAAGATATTTCATATTCATTATAGTAATGGCTATACTTCAGGTTGAACTTTTATGTAACCTTTGTTTCATCAGCATCTGTTTTTCCCACCCACTGAAAATTTACTTCTTGGCTCCATCATCTTTCCTCATTTCACTATATTCCACAACACACACACACACACACACACACACACACACACACACACACACACACACAGAGCAATCTCAGAATAATATAACTGTCACCAGTAATATGATTTGTAAAAATGGTTTTTTGCTGTGTTCTTTTTGTTCTTAAGATATTACAATAGAAATATCCATATTCAAATCATTGTTTTAGAATCTTTTAGATAATTTTTTGTGTGTAGTTTTGCCACTAACTCACCTTCTGTATTCATTTATTTTGATTTCTTGTTAATTATTTTTACTTTTTTTAACCATATATGTACGTTTCAATTCAAAACAAATGTATTTCCATTTAGGTCTAGCTTCTGTCCTTGTTTATCCTCTTTACCCAACTAACTATACTAAGAGGGATCATTTGTTAAGAATTTATGGTTTCCTAGGTCGGAAAGACAGTTTAGGGGTTAAAATGTTTTGCTTGCAACTGACCATAGTTCAATTCTCATTGAACTATGGTCCATTGAGGCTCCTATTGAAATGGCAGATTCCAGGCTTATGGCAGCGAGTGTCTAAGAGAAACTGGAGCATCTAGCAACCGCATGGCCCCTCTAGCAATCCTAGGAGTCACTCATGAGCATACTACTAAATATGGCCCCAAAACCTCTCCCAAGAAATGTTGTGCTTTTCTATGCATTTTAATATATAAATACAGGGACCAGAGAGATAATATAGTGGGAAAGGCTCTTGGCATGCAGCCAACCTTGGTTCAATTCAGGCACTGGTTTCTGGAACACCTCTAGGATTAATCACTGGGCACAGCCAGGTGTGGCCCAAACTCCCCACCCTCTCACCCCCATCCTCCAAATTACAAGCATTCCTTTTTATTTTGGTTATTTTTGGTTTACCTCCAAACAGAGTATTTTTGTCTGGTAAGGGTCAGAAATGGGAAGTTAGAGTTATCTTTTACAGTGAAAGAAAAACAGCAGTAAAAAATACATAACATACAGTTGGCATTTAATAAATATCTAATAAAAACTAGCTGAGGAAATATTTTTTTTCTGACTAAGAATTTCCAATAAAATGAATGTGTGTTTTGGTTATAACAGATGGGTTAATTTTAAATTTATTTTCCTCCAGAGAGAACAATGTACAAAATTTTCCTCACATTGAGGTAATTCGGAAAAAGGAAGAGAGAAGAAAATTGCTTGGACACACGTGTAAGGAATGTGAAATTGTAAGTGCTGATATAAGCATTATTCTTTTGGGTATTTTTTTAAGAATAGCTTTATTTTTAAATTGTAGATGCAAACATTTGTACCGAGAAATCTAGTTTGAGTGAGGAATAACAAGACAAGTAAATATGAAGATGTTGGCTTTAGCCTGTGAGAGATAAATACATGAAAGTGAGAGCTTTCAGTTTCTTAGATTTTTATTAATTGGATCTGGATCCTACACCCTAGCTCTTATTACTAAAGACATTGGTGCCATTTTTCTTTGTTTTGTTTTATTTTGTTTTGTGGTACTCCTGGTGGTGCACAGTGGCTCTGTGCTCAGGAGTCCCTCCTGGCAAGTACACAGGGGATCATCTGGTGCCAGGACTGAAGCTCCAGCATGCAGTCAGCCCTTTGAGTTATGACATTGGCCCCTCTTTTTAATATTTATTTGTATTTCATTTCTTTATCTTGTTTTGGGATCATTTCTGACAATGTTTAGGGCAGTGGGGGAGGGAGAAACCATATGAGGTTCCAGGGAAGGAACCAGATCCCTTCATATACAAGATAAGTGCCCTGTCCCACTGTACAGCCCAATTTGTATGTGTTTATTTTTCCACTGTGTTAAAGCAAAGACTCTTATATGTGCTTCTGAGGACAGCATTTTCTGTTCCTATAAGAAACTTCAAGTTTGAAACTAGAACCAGCACTTCCAAGAAAGGAATATACTCAATTTTTTTAAATGATATATCCATAAGCTCTTTTTCCCCTATTTTGTTTCTAAACAAAGTGTATAAACTCTTCCAACCTTATAATATAATTAAAATTTTCCTTTTACATATTGGCTTCTTCAACTACTTAGCTAGATAGTACTATTATAATTGGGCTGGAGCGATAGCACAGCAGGTAGGGCATTTGCCTTGCACGCGGGCAATCCAGGTTCGATTTCTCCGTCCCTCTCGGAGAGCCCGGCAAGCTACCAAGAGTATCCCACCCACACGGCAGAGCCTGGCAAGCTCCCCATGGTGTATTCGAGATGCCAAAAACAGTAACAAGTCTCACAATGGAGACATTACTGTTGCCTGCTCAAGCAAATCAGTGAACAATGTGACAACAGTGCTACAGTGCTATTATAATTACACTGTGCTAAATAATCCCAGTCAGGTTCTGAGGTTTTTTTTTTTTTTCTTGTTTTTATTATCTTACATTAGCTATCAGTTGCCTGCCTCCAGCATTTAGTTTCTCTTTTAAATTTCCTTTTTAACAACTTTGAACTAGAAATTTTGATGTGGTAAGAAATATCACTGTATCACTGTCATCGCTATCATCCCATTTTTCATCAGTTTCCTCGAGCAGGCACCAGTAATGTCTCCATTCGTCCTAGCCCTGAGATTTTAGCAAGTGCCACATTGGAGGCTCTTTTAGGGTCAGGGGAATGAGATCCATCATTATTACTGGGTTTTGGCATATCAAACATGCCAAGGGGTGCTTGCAAGACTCTACCATGGGTAATAAATATACTCATACAGAAAACTTAGGAATATAAATTAGAATGACTATACTGAAAAACAAGTTCTTTTTAAAGTAAAACCTCCTGTCAAGTGAGTTTTAAGTAAAACATAACAAGAGATTACATAAAGCCTTTATATCTTAACTAAAGAATGTGGGCTACATGGACAAAATAAACCACAAGTTTTTAGATATTGCTGTAACTCTTTACAATCTGGAACTAATAATGCCTCTTAGAAACACTGCTTATTTGCTTTCTTTCTCTCAGAAATAATTTCCAGTGTCTGTTGTCCAGTCTCTGAGAAAAATTGGTTTATATGATTAATTTCTACTTTTCAGTTGTATAAGGTAGAATTAGGCTGTTCTCATTTGCTTCCTCATGACCAGTACTGAAAGTACCATCCAGTTATTTTTAATACTATATTTGCTTACAGTTCCTAAGTTTACTGCATTCATTGCCTGTTCCACATGCTGACCATAGCACGTGTGTGGTAATGTCATGTTAAATCAGTCTTCATTCGAAAGCAGACATACACACTTCCCATCTCTGAGTCCCATACCTTACCTGTGAGTCTCCTGTATGTTCATTCTAGTTGTTTAAACCCAAGCTGAAATAGACTGAATTATGTGCTGCTGTTACCTGTATCCTATTAAGCTTTATATACTACTTGTTTTCTTAGATCTAAAGCTTGAAGATCTACATAAAATTTTACGTATAAGGATACCAGATTGCATGAAGTTTAGGTTCTTGATGATCACACTTGTTAAAAAGTAATATGCCTTTGAGTCTAATAAGAAAATCTAGTCCTTTTTTTTTCTTTTTGGTTTTTGTTGGCAGGGATTAGAGGAGGGTGGAGTTGAGGATTGGTATGTTTTTGTTTTGTTTTGTGGTGCCAGGAACCGAACTCAGCCTCATGCATGCAAGGTATGCTCTGCCAACCAAGCCACATCCCTGGCTCTGAGAAACCCAGTTTAAAGGGGAAGTCTTAAGGCTTGCAAGACTGAAAGATAAACATTTCATTTTCATTAACTATAGAGATAGGAAAACTACTTACAAGCACGCATGTTACATCCAAATAACTGTTGAGAAAACTATCAGGAAAAATGCATATCTCTGCATTTTTACTACTAATTTGACAAAGGTGAAGATTTTACACATACATATACATATATATTAATGTGTATATATACACATATATATGCACTATATATATTATATATACACATTATGTATATATAAATACATGATATATATTATATATGTGTATATATGTTGCCATGCACTATAAAGTTCAGCTAGCACTTTCCTTTTGAAACTTTTTGATGAGGGAAGCAGTATGTTGATTTACGTGGTGAGATAAACTTTACTAGTTTGTGAAGCAAACATTTTATATTACCAGCACTTATTTTTAAATACAGTGATAATTATCAGCCTATTGAATAAGAGCTTTCTTCGCTTCTAGTCAGTTAGCATATAACATTGCCTGCTATTCATACTAGTGAAAATTTTACTAGTTTTTATTATTAGTATTATGCAGATTTTCCAGCTGAAGAAAGAGAAAAGAAGCTGGCTTCCTGCTCAAGACACCGATTCCGATATATTCCTCCTAACACTCCAGAGAATTTCTGGGAAGTTGGTTTTCCTTCCACTCAAATTTGTATGCAAAGAGGTAAGAGTAGACTATAACATTTTGGGATTTTTTTTTTAATGCTGTATATACACAAGTCTAACCTGTTAGCTCTCTCTTTGATTCTCTTTACCTTCTGCTCTTAAAATGTGTGCTGATTTTGTGACATATAAGTAGATTTTTAACTGTAAAAGTGTACTCTTCAGCTTTTCAAGTAATTTTTTGCCTCAAAGATTATTTATACTTATTTTAATGTGATTATATATGCACTCAAAACATCACTCAAATTTAGAGAAGTAACTTTATTTTCATTCTGCCATCAAAATGACTTAAAAACTTTACAATAAAGTTGCTGGCAACATTAAATTGTTGAAAAATGAAAGAGCGTCTTTTCAAAACAAGTACTCTGAATCGTATATTTTACAACATTTTCTAGGAAGCTGGGTATTTATTAATCCTATCTGAATAAAATGGACCTTTGTTTGGACAATTATTGACATGAAACTAGCTTCTTCATATATCACACCTTAATGTAATGTGAGAAATATATGAGTTTTCATGTTTCAGATATATATAAACAGAGTTGTGTCTCAGTGGTAAGGAACATGCTTTATATATATGAGACCTGGGTTTGTTTAATACTTGGTACCACAAAAAAGAGTTCCAGATATTTAATGCACTATAGCACTGTCCTCCCATTGTTCATCGATTTGCTCGAGTGGGCTCCAGTAACGTCTCTGTTGTGAGACTTTTTGTTACTGTTCTTGGCATATCGAATATGCCACGGGTAGCTGGACAGGCTCTGCCAAGCGGGTGGGATACTCTTCAGTAGCTTGCCGGGCTGTCTGAGAGGGACAGAGGAACAAACCCGGGTCGGCCGTGTTCAAGGCAAACACCCCACCCACTGTGCTATTGCTCCAGCAATATTTAGCTGGAACAATATTTAATGATAAGTTTTTTCTAAAGATTCCAAAACTCTTTAATGGCTGTTACCTTATTTTCCACTAACAAAACAAAACAAAACAAATGCCCCTCTTGACATGATGTCTCTGCCTGGTGATCAAGTAGAATTAAACAATCTGGTTAGAACCTGGATATGTACCCTTAATATGTACTAGGGATATGTCAAAATACAGTTCTCCCCAGTGACTGGGGAGACACCTTAAAACCGAATAATGTGAAGAATATAGGGACATGTTACTGATATAATAGCTATAACAAAAACTCCCATTTATTTATTGAATCACTATGAGATAGGGGCCAGAGTGATTGTACAGCGGGTAGGCACTTGCCTCGTATGCAGCCAACCCAGGTTCAATCCCCAGCACCACATATTGTCCCCAGAACCCTTCTAGGAGTGGTCCCTGAGCACAGAGCCAGGAGTAAACCCTGTGTACCACCAAGTGTGGCCCAAAAAACATACAAAATGAATTACTGGGAGATACACTGGCAGAAACTTTTTTTAAAAAATTATTTTATTAAAGAGTCATGAATTTACATGGGCTGGAGCAATAGCACAGTGGGTAAGGTGTTTGCCTTGCACACGGCCAACCCAGGTTTGCTTCCTCCGCCCCTCTCGGAGAGCCCAGCAAGCTACTGAGAGTATCTCGCCCACACGGCAAAACCTGGTAAGCTCCCCGTGATGTATTTGATATGCCAAAAACAGTAACAGCAAGTCTCACAATTTGTTGTGAGACATTACTGGTGCCCGCTCGAACAAATCGATGAACAAGGGGAGGACAGCTACAGTGCTAGATGATTTATATTACTATTAGTTGAGTTTTAGGCATACAATAATTCAACACCATTCCCTCCACCCCTGTCAACTTCCCTTCACCAGTCTTCCCAAAATAGTCATCCAGAATTTGTAGTAAAAAAATATTTAGTATTTAACTTCCTCTAGGAGACAGAATAGGAAAGTGCTTAAGAACTTTGGTTCTGAAGTAAGATCATGGACAAGGTTCTTCCTCTTCCACTGCCTAGGTTTTTGTAAACTTCAGAGAGTTATGTTATTTAACTTCCCAGGCACCATTACCTCATCAGTGTAATAGATATATTAGAAGCTGCTTCAAAGGAATATGAGCATCATCCGAGATAACCGACATAATGTTACATATTTAATCACTATTACCATTAATATAATTTAAAAAACTGGTACTAATTTGTGAAATTATTTGTCAACATTTACTAAAAATTAGAAGACCAAGTAAAGTAAGAAGGTATTAAATAAGACTAAATATATGCTGAAAGAAATAGATGTTGCAAATACAGTCTTCTGAATTTGTAATTTTCTTTTAAGGATACATTAAAGAAGATCTTGATCCTTGTCCTCGTCCAAAGAGGCGGCAGCCTTACAATGCAATGTTTTCACCGAAAGGCAAGGAGCAGAAGACATAAACGTTCAAGCAAAAACAGGACCTATTTTTTCTTCTTAGTTATTTATAGTTAAAACTGATGTTAAACATTAATATTTTGATCTTCTTTAAACTGATTTATAAATCATTTTTCTATTGAAAATGTTTTTGAATGGCATTTACCCACCATACACATCTGTTTAAACGGTGGATAAGTTTGTCGGATTTTCTTGCTTTTGCACCTTTAAAACAATAAGGTGCTTTCATTTTGCACTCTAACTTAAGAGTTGTTGATGTACTTTATTTGTTAATACCTAATTACAATTTTGAAAATAATATAGTTGTAGTCTGTGATTTGTTACCTATCTTATTTTTCTTCTCCTCCATCTTTCCTTGCTATTTACATCCAGCAGTGACTTCGTGTTAATCACTACAAATTTTAATTCTCTTAATCATTTGGCCCTCCGTAGGTTGTTACAGTGTCTGACATTTAAGTCTTCTAAAGGGCTACATATAATAGTCTTTAACCTTCCAGTTTCTTCCTTCTGTTGACCTGAAATAAGAACAGTATTCACACTCTGTATTAAGTACTATTTTTTCAAGATAGCTGCAAATATCAACCGTTTTACCATAAACAGTAGTTTAACAATATCCTCTGATTTGATCATAATGTTACAGCTCTTCAAATGTTCTTTTGATCATCCATGGGGTTTTTTTTTGGGGGGGGGGTGTTGTTTGGTGTATTGAGTTATCTTCCTGTGGGTTCAAGTCCAGATATATTATTTTCCTGTATTAATTTATGTTAAGAACATCCTTTTTGTGAAATAATTTCTCTCTTTTATACCACTTTTTATTCCTTTAGGACCAGTTAAGATAACTGACCAAATCTGTGCTGCCTTTTTATTCTGCTTTATGAGTTTTCGGGTCATTCCCAAGTATCTCAGGGGTTACTCCTGTCTCTGCACTTAATTATTCCTAATGGCTCAAGAGACCTTATGAGATGCTAGGGATCAAATCTGGGCCAGCCCTGTGCAACACAAGCACCCTAACCATTACACTATTATACCATCCTTGTGCCACCTTTGTAGTGATATTTTGTTTAGTAAATTTATGTGTGTATTGCTTTGATCCATACTTTGACAGTATTATGTAATATGAGTACTTGAGTCACTGACGAAATGGCTCATGAAAATCGATAAAGCCATATCATTCCTAAAAACCTCTTCTTTTTTTTTCTTTTTTTTTTTTTAAAGGGTTTGACTTACTCAAGATCATGAGGATTTGTTGACTCGAGTTATTTTCTGAATTTTGCAGTTTTAGGTTTTCTTTTTTTTTTTTTTTAATTTTTTTTTTCTTTTTTATTAGTGAAACGACATGAGGTACAGTTGTAGATTTACAAATTTTTGTGCTTGGATCTCGGTCATACCACGATCAAATACCCATCCCTCCACCAGTGCCCATTTTCCACCATCAGGATAATATCCCTCCCCCCCATCCTCCCATCCCCCCATCCCCCCCTGCCACTGTGGCAGGGCATTCCCCCCTGTTCTCTCTCTCCTCCTGGGCGCTGTGATCAGCCAAAGAGGCATTGAGTGGCGAACATGTTCAGTCCAGTCTACTTTCAACCTGCATCTCCCCTCCTGGGAGGATCCTCTAAACACCCTCCACTTGGTGTTCCCCTTTCTATCTGAATTGTCCTTTCCCCTAGAATACCCAGCTGGCCTCAAAGTTATGGAGTAATTCTGGTGTTGCTCTCAGCTATTCTTGGGTATTAATCTCATATTTTATTATTTTATATCCCCCAGATGAATGCTATCTTTCTATGTCTATCCCTCTCTTTCTGACTCATTTCGCTTAGCATGATACTTTCCATATTGTACCACTTGTATGTAAAGTTCATGACTTCATCTTTTCTAAGAGCCACATAGTACTCCATTGTGTAGATGTACCAAAGTTTCTTTAACCAGTCATCTGTTCTTGGGCACTCAGGTCTCTTCCAGTTTCTGGCTACTGTAAAGAGTGCTGCAATGAACAAACAAGTGCAGATGTCACTTCGGCTACACGTTTTTGCCTCTCTGGGATATATTCCCAGGAGTGGTATCGCTGGGTCAAATGGGAGCTCAATTTCTAATTTTTTGAGGAACGTCCATACTGTAAAAACTTCTTCTTAATTTTGTCTTCCTCATTGGTAAAAGGTTCTCATGTGAATAAATTAGTTTGTGTTCTCACAAATAGGATATAAAAAAAATCATATAACTACCTGTTCTGCATCAGATCCCTATATATACATTTTTAGGCTCCAAATGTGAAATTTTGCAGCCCTATTTTTGCTTCTACTCCACACTAACCTTTCCCTATTAGTTATCCTATGTTTTTGTTCTCTGCAAGCCGTCAATTAATCTCCCCCAAAATAGGAACCATATATTGGTATATTTTGCATCATATTTTTTTCTCCTAATCTTCAGATAATCTTGTGAGTTTATGTATCAGCTATATATTATTAAGCTGGGGTGGAGGGTGAGGAAATGCATCTTAAGAAACAAGTTAAGCAAACAATGACAAGATTTTTCTTAACACATGTTTAAGTGTTTGAAGTTTGGAGGTCCAAGGCCTATTACTCAGTTCTGTGATTCATGGACCCAGTATTTTGGTTTTCTGCATGCATACCTGATGTGGCCTTCATCCTCATGACTATAAAATAGGGGCGGAGGGGGGCAGGGGGCAGGCAGGTGGTGCATGTTGGAGAGATAGTAGTAGGCAAGGCCCTTGTCTGCATGATGCTGATCCTGGTTTGACCCCCAGCACTACGTGTGTAGTGACTCCTGAACAGCCAGGAGCACTGCAGGGTGTGCCCCCTACCCCCCCCCCCCCACACACACACAATCAGTAATAAAATTTAAATATTTGGGGCTGGAGCTATAGTATAGTGGGTAGGATGCTTGCCTTGTATGCAACTGGCCCAAGTTTGATCCCTGGCACCCCATATGGTTCCCCCAAGTTCTGCCAGGAGTGATACCTGAGTGCAGAACAAGGAGTAAGCCCTGAGCACCACTAGGTGTGGCCCCCAAAACCAAAACAGGTTGGGCCAGAAAAATGGTACAATTAAGTGCTACTTTACACACAGTTCATCCTAGTTTGAGTCCCAGAACTTCAAGTTTCCCCTTAGCACTGTCAGGAGTAAGTCCAGCACCACTAGGCACAGCCTCAAAGTGAGCAAAAAAACACACCAAAATTGTTAAGCTATCTCTAGCAACATGACCATGTTCTAGGTAGTAAGTGGGGGAAGGGGGGGGAGAGGGGGAATGTGTGTCTTTGGGGAAGGAAAAGGAGAAAAAGAGAGAATGTATGTGTGTGTGTGTGTGTGTGTGTGTGTGTGTGTGTGTGTGTGTGTTGCAAAGTGATCAAACCTAGGGCCTAGGTTTGAACCTAGAACTTGCCACACATGAGGCAAGTTTTACTAAACTATATTCCCAACCCTGTGGGGTTTTTTTTTTTTGGTTTGGTTTGGTTTTTTTCACTATTTCAAAGGTTTAAAACATTGAATGGCTATAATGCATATTCCTCGGCACTGTGATTACCCAAGCACCTCCAGGGGCAACCCCAAGCACTGAGCCATGAGTAACTCCTGAGCACCAGTGGGTGTGACCCCAGACCCAGAGTCAAAATACTGCTTCAAGAAAGCACCTGGCAAAATTCAGTTTCTCAAAAGTGAAAATTGTCTTCTAGTAATTCAGATAAAATCAGAGCCCAGCATTGCTGAATTCCTGAATCAGAGTCTAGATCTGTCATAGTAGAGTGTTTCTAAATTCCAAGCATCAGAGATATTAAGATTTGAACAGAATATAAAGTTGAAACACTGTACTTCCAATGAATTTTAAAGATATTTTGGACTGTGATTTACAATATGTGCATGATAGGGTTTCTTGCATACAATGTTAGGATAACTAATAGGGGAACAATAAAAGTGTGGCATAGAAGCAATAATAGGGTTGCAAACAACTCATATTGTGCTATTTAATCTGAATAGCTATAAGTAGGCTAACTGCTTAAGATGTGTGCAGATTCGAGCTTGTTTAAATTTATTCCACATTAATGAGAACTGTTACTGTAATTTCAAACATAGTGGGGAAAATATTTTTATGAGTTGCCACAAAATTTTAATTTATTTGACAGTTCTACAGGTTGATACTTAGCTTCAGGAGCTTGCACATGGAGTACTGTGTCTGTGCCTTTGCCAGGACTTACCCTGTTCTAAAGTCTTGTGTCTGTTATGGTCAATCACCTTGTTTGTGTTTCATGTAACGAGGTAAGTTGTAACCATATACTAGTCTAGAAATCATTTATTGTTCTTTTCACCAACTTGCTTATCCACCTTTACTGTGATCCTAGTATATGTTGACATTACTGTTTTAAAAAATTTTGTTTGGTTTGGTGGTTGGTTTGTGGGTCACACCTAGCTGTACTCAGGGCTCTTTCTTGACTCTGTGCTCAGGAATCACTCCTGGCAGTTATCCAGGGCCCCTGTATTGTGCTGAAGATTTGAACTTGGGATGGTTGCATCCAGCCCTGCTATTTAACTCTTAAGGAACAATTGCATTTTTCTTTCCTTCCAAGTTCTCAAACAGGAACTCATTGGAGACCACAGTCCTCTCATCTCATTGAAAGGGTTTATTCGACCTCTTTTTCACTTTTTGGGGGTCCACAGTTGGTGGTACTCTGGGGGCTGCTCCTGGCTCTGTGCTCAAGAGTCACTCTCAGAGGTGGTTAAGAAGCCATGCAGTGCTGCAGACCAACCCTTGGCCTCCCACATGCAAAGCATGTGCTCCTCCCTTTGTACTCTCTCCTACTGTACATCACAAACTATGAGAATAAAAGAGCACCAAAGATTTGGAATTGAATTGAATTTAGTTAGCTTTCTGTCTTCAAATACTTGTTCTGGAAAAAGTTAGTTGAGTAGCACTGAGTGATCCTCAGGACCTTCATGTATTTCCACATCACCCTGTAATTGAACACCATCCCCTCTAGCATCCAAGCACACCTGCTCCATGGACCTGCGGCAGTTTTGAGGGAGGGTCAGATTAATGACCAGAGGCCATGCTGGACTCATCTCTGGTTCATGGCGCTTCTGCATAGAGCCACAGTTCGAGAGGAGTGGTTCTATCCACCCCCATCTGACGACAACTTTGTAAGCACATTCATTTATTTTTTTAAAAACATTTTATTGAATCACCATGAGATACACCCTTACAAAACTGTTCATGATTGGATTTCAGTCATACCGTGTTCCAGCACCCAACTCTCCACCAGTGTACATTTCCCAGCACCAGTGTCCCCAGATTCTCTCCCATCTCCCCTACCCCCCCCCCACCTGCCTCTATGGCAGGTGCTTTTCTTCCCCCCACCCCTGCCCCAACATGATCATTCCAAGCTATTATTGTCATACTGGTCTCTCCTCTAGCTTACCTGCCTTCATCCCCACACACACTTGTGGTTCCAACCATTGACCAACCCCTAACCCCTGTTTTCCCTTGCCATGGATATTAATC